CAGAGTATTTTTTTGACTATTCTTGCACACTCCTCCTGCAGAGGGACACGCCCGACTGAAAGCCTGTTGACAAAAAACAGGGCACCGCATATGGAACGGGTCCTGGAGGAGCGGGCCCTGGACTGGGAGGCGGCCCGGGGGGTCTGCACTGGTTCTGGACGCCCGAAATGGGTACAATGCCCAACAACAAATGCTGTCCCAAACCAACTGCGGCCGCTGTTGGGCAGGCGGCCTTCTGTCTCAAGTGGACACAGGCCGCGGCGGCGCGGACAGCGAATTCTCTTCAAAATGAACAGGAGCTGCTGTTGGGCATTGAACCCATTCTTTCCGTACCCATTTCGTGCGTGCAGACCGGTTCTGGATACTAGGGCTCCCAACTTCGCGCTGCGCGCTGCGCGAGAGCGCGAATAACTTCGCGCTCTCGCGCCGCCCTCCCAAAGGGAGAATAGGAGGACGAGGAGGAGGGGGAGAAGGAACGAGGACCGCGAAGCGCGAGGGAGGAAGGAGGGGGAGGAGGAGGGAGGAGGAGGAGGAGGGGGAGAAGGAAAGCGCGAATGACTTCGCGCCCTCGAGGGAGCCCTTGAGCAAATCCGTGAGGAGAAAGGGGTGAGGCCAAATCCGCCCCACGTCGGCCCCCGGACCCCTCCCGGGCTCCACCCGGGTGGAATGTTTCACCCCCCCTCCTCCTCCTCCTCCTCCTCCTCCTCCTCCTCCTCCTCCTCCTCCTCCTCCTCCTCCTCCTCCTGCTCCACACGGGTGGAATGTTTCACCCCAGGTCCGTCCTGTTGGCGGCGCGCAGAGGGGGTAGGAGGAGGGGGGAAGGCTTCTTCGAGGGAGGCTGCTTCTCAGAAGGCGCCGGCCCCACGTCTATAGACGAGGCCCACGCCCTGAAAGATGCAGGGGCGCTGCTAAGATGCCTTGCCCCCTCCCCCTGCCACCCTCTGCGCGCGGCCGACCCGCACAGTCGATCTCCTGCCCGACGCGAGCGGCATGTTCCACACGGGCGCCCGTGCGCTGAGAAACCAACGAGAGCTCTGACTCCTGCTGCGCTGCCTCGGGATTGTCCACTCATCTTGGTTACGGTGCTGAACTCTCCTTTTCGCGACGTCGGATCTCAGGGTCTCTGCGTGCGGCCGACCTGCATATGCGGCGCGCATAAGCGGGTCGGAGGGAAGGGGAAGGCTTCTTAGAAGGAGGCTGCCTCTTAGAAGGCGCCGGCCCCACGTCTCCAGGCAAGGCCCAGGCCTTCTACGAAGCAGGGGTGCGTCTAAGAAGACGTCCCCCCTCCCCCTGGGGTGAAACGACCTCCCCCCTCCTCCACCCCCTCCTCCTCCTCCTCCTCCTCCTCCTCCTCCTCCTCCTCCTCCTCCCTCCTCCCCCTCCTCCCTCCTCCTCCCCCCTCCTCCTCCTCCTCCTCCTCCTCCTCCTCCTCCTCCTCCTCCTCCTCCTCCTCTTCCTCTTCCTCCTCCTCCTCCTCCTCCTCTGCGCGCGGCCGACCTGTACAGGCGACCTCTCCTGCTCGACGAACAACTCTCCTCAGAGGCCCCGTGCCCTCTCGACTCGAAGGCGGGCCGCGGCCCCCTCGCGCCGGGCGGCCCCTCGGGCGTGCGGCCCGCGGGGCCTTCCGAGGTTTGTATGTTTCTGTCCTTCTTCGTTCCCCTACAGGAAGCTGGCGGCGCGCACAGGGGGGCGGAGGGAGGGGGGAGGGCTCCTTAGAAGGAGGTTGTTATGTTTCTGTCATTCTTCGTTCCCCTATAGAAAGTTGGCGGCGCAAAGAGGAAGGTGGGGGGTGGCTTGGAGGCTACTTCTCAGAAGGCGCCGGCCTTACATCTACAGACGAGGCCCGCGCCCTCTGAGAAGCAGGGGCGCTTCCAAGAAGCCCTCCCCCCCCCCCTCCCCCCCCAGCACCCTCTGCGCGTGGCTGAGAAAGAACAACCAACGGTATGAGCACGACTTCTCGGAAACCCGCGCGGACGTCTCGGATCGGCGCCGGACACCCGCTCCCTCGCGCCGGGGGCGGCGCCAGGGGCGCCGCCAGAGAGGGGCTCGGCGCCGATCCAAGACGTCCGCGCGGACCTCCGAGAAAGCATGCTCTACGCCACGAAAAGAGGCACTGACTACCTACCACCCCAACCCAACCCGAAGACCCGAATCCCGGGTTGGGGAAGGGTGCGGGTTTTTTTTTGTTGTTGTTTACGTTCCCCGATTCCCCCCCACCGGAAATGGAGGGCAAATCGGGGCCTTCGGGATGGGTAGGGGTGGTTTGGTGGGCGGTGAGATACACAGACACCCTGCGATGAACATTGCATGTGCCCTCAGGGGGGCGTCTGTGTAAGAGGCAACTCCTGGGAGGTCTTCGTTGGAACGATGAAGGGCGATTCAGCCAGATTAAGTGGCCACTCCCCCCGATCAGGTCATATTAAGCCCAGGATTGAACGGGATTGAGCGTGTTGAAGAGCGGTTGAGCTGGACTCATCGAGAGTAAGCCGCTCACCGACCGCGAAACTACCAGCGCGGAGACCAAATCTGCCCCCCAAGTGTTGCATAGTTTTGGCGGTGAATGCTCGCCCACAAGGAGCTCCACCGCGGGCCTCAGTGGGTGCGTTCGCACTGCACTGGTGCGCCAACATCGGCACACGCTTCACGCGTTTCGCGGCCCCCAAGGAGCTCCACCGAAGCCCCGTAAGTGTAATTACGTTCGCATGGCTTCGCCCCGCTCATCGTGGCACACCCCTCGCACATTTCCTGCCACCCTCCACCGAGGGGACCCCAGTGTGTGCGTTCGCATGGCGTCGCCCCGCCAATTTCGGAACACCCCTCACAAATTTCCTGCCCCCGAGGGAGCTCCCACGAGGGCCCCAGTGGGTGCGTTCGCATGGTGTCGCCCCGCCATTGTCGGCACACCCCTCACACATGTCCTGCCCCCGAGGGAGCTCCACCGAAGGCCCCAGTGGGTGCGCTCGCATGGCGTCGCCCCGCCCATTTCGGCATATCCCTCGCGCGTAGCATGCCCCCCAGGGAGCTCCAGTGGGTGCGTGCGCATGGCGCAGCTCCACCCATTGCAGCACACCCCTCGCACACGTCCTGCCACCCAGGGAGCTCCACCGAGGGCCTCAGTGGGTATGTTCGTATGGCGTTGCCCCGCCCACTTCGGAACACCATCACGCATGTCATGCCCCCCAGGAAGCTTCACCGAGGGCCCCAGTGGGTGCGTTCGCATGGCGTCGCCCCGATCATTGCGGCACACCCCTCACACATGTCCTGCCCCCCAGGGAGCTCCACCGAGGGCTTCAGTGTGTGCATTCGCATGACGCGCTCAGCCCATTTCGGCATGTGCCTCACGCGTTTCGTGGCCCCCAGGGAGCTCCACCAAGGATACCCAAATGCGTGCGTTCGCATGGAGTCGCCACGCTCGTTTCGGCACACCCCTCGCACATGTCCTGCCCCCCAGGGAGCTCCACCGAGGGCTTCAGTGGGTGCGTTCGCATGACGCGCTCCGCCCATTGCGGCATGTGCCTCACGCGCTTCGTGGCCCCCAGGGAGCTCCACCGAGGGGGCCCCAATGCGTGCGTTCGCATGGAGTCGCCCCGCTCATTTCGGCACATCTCTCGCACGTTTCCTTCCCATCCTTCCCACCCACCCCCAGAGAACTTCACCGAGGGCCCCAGTGGGTGCGTTCGCATGGCGTCGCCCCGCCCCTTTCGGCACACCCATCACGCGTTTCGTGGTCCTCATACACAAGTCGTCAATTGCGACATGTTATTCCGGAACTTCTACCTATGCTTCGAAGAGCGTCACCATCGCACATTTAAAACATGGGTGCCCCCTTTTCACGCTAGACACCCGTCCTGCTCCGCGTCGCGATCATCGTCCTCCCCATTGCGAGCCGATCTGTACGAGTACAGGCGTGAATGGGGGACTTTGTTCGCGGTCTCAGCGTCTTTGGCGAGGTTGTCGGGGACAGTCCAGATCCTTCAGCGTGTTCTTGTGTGTTGAGCCGTCCTGCTTATAGCTGCCCTTGGTTAGACAGGGTTGGGTTCTTCGTCAGGCTGATCTCATTGCGCGGTACCAAAAGTACCGACGTCCTCCCCTGGGGAACAATCTTTGACACGCGCCAATGTTTGATTGTCCCAGGGCCCGAGATACAATGCCGAGGACCACAAGGGGCCTGAGCCAGGATGGGCGCATGCAAGATACACCGCGCCTGAGACCGGGCATCCCAGAACACAGTGACCGGCTGCAGAACTTCATGATATGGGTAATCGTGCGCTTCGTGCCTCCAGGCCAAAGGCTCGAGTCCACATCGAAGAACAATGCCCGGACGTCTGCACAGCTCGCATCAACGGATGTCTGGGGGGGTCCCGTTGCGAGAGGAGGCCACGGCGCCGGAGGCCTGGGATGAGGCCTTTGAGAGCTGCCGGTCCTCTGTTCAGAACTCAGCCCTCCTGGCGTCAGCCCTCCGTCTCTCCGGGCCCCGTCTGCTCGCTGCCCCCGCCGACCTCCCCTCGCCTCCGCCACTTCTCCCTCCCAGACTCCTGGCGCCCAGACTCTCTCCTCCCCCACCCCTGACTACCTACCAGACCACCCCAACCCAACCCGAAGACCCGAATCTCGGGTGGGGGGGGGTACGGGTTCCATATGTGTTTTCTCGATGTTCCCCGACCCCCCCCCCACTAGAAATGGAGGGCAAGTCGAGACCTTCGGGTTGGGTTGGGGTGGTTTGGTGGGTGGTGACCCACCCCCTCCTCTCCCTCCCTCCAGGGGGGGAAAGGGAGGAGGGGGAGGATTAGGAGGAGGAGGAGGAGGAGGAGGAGGAGGAGGAGGAGGAGGAGGAGGAGGTCCTCTCCCTCCCTCCCCCTCCCACGCTCTGCCTCCCATCTCGCCGCTCCACTTCCTCTCGTCTCCACGCAGCCCCTCCCCCTTCTCCCACATCCCTCCCCCGCTCCCCCCGCCCGTCCGTGCCCCTCACCCCTCCCCCGCTGTTTCTCGTCCGAGGGCTCCTCTTGTAGAACGTCAGCTCGTCGCCCTCGAGGACGTAGCCTGGGAGTCAGAATGGCCGCGATGGGAGGAGAGAAAGACGACGACGACGACGACGACGACGACGACGACGACGACGACGACGACGACGACGACGACCGAACGATCGCGCGCATCAACTCGCTCAGAAAATACAGCGAAGAGGTGCGCCGGGAGCGGCCTACCCTTGTGCACGTAGGGCAACGCGGCCAAGGTGGAAGAAACAAACAACTGCAGCCACATAGACGTTCGCAAGGGCTCCTAAGTTCGCGCTTCGCGCTGCGCGAAGCGCGAATAACTTCGCGCTCTCGCGCCGCCCCCCCAAAGGGAGAATAGGAGGACGAGGAGGGGGAGAAGGAACGAGGACCGCGAAGCGCGAAGCGCGAATAACTTCGCGCCCTCGAGGGAGCCCTTGCATAGACGTTCGCCCTGTGTCGCCCCAGTCTCGCCCCCAGACCTCCAAGATGGCCTCGAGAAGGCCCAATATGTCCTAAACACGGCCCAAGAGAGCCTCAACAAGGGCTCCCAACTTCGCGCTTCGCGCTCCGCGAAGCGCGAAGCGCGAATAACTTCGCGCTCTCGCGCCGCCCCCCCAAAGGGAGAATAGGAGGACGAGGAGGAGGGGGAGAAGGAACGAGGACCGCGAAGCGCGAATAACTTCGCGCCCTCGAGGGAGCCCTTGATGAGGCAAACACCATTGATGTTCCCTAGGTGTTTGAAACATGTTGGCCACCGTGGACCCCCAACGTGGTGCACAACATGCGGTGCAATCTATGTCGAGAGAGTTGCGCGGTAGGCGCACTGTATGTGGTCCTTAAACCTACGTTGTGCAATTTACGTGGTGCAATCTATGGTTTGCATTTAATTTCGCAGTGAGTTGTCCACTCCACTGCTCGCGCAAACTTCCCACCCACCCGACCGCAACTTGGTTTGCAAAATCTCTTACGACCGTGACGGTGGGTACCGAATGGCACTTGGCAACGACAGCGACGCCGACAACGACAGCGACAACGACGACGACGACGCCGCCGACAACGACTACAACGACACCAAAGACGTCTCCAACGACTTCGACGACGCCGACAACGACAACGACGACGACGACGACACCGACGACGACGACGACAACACCGACGCAGACGACGAAGACGACGACGACAACGACGACGACGACGACGACTACGACGACGACCGACGACGTCAACGACGCCGACGCCGACGACGACGAAGACGACGGCAGCGACGACGACGACGCCGACATCGACGACGACGAAGACGACGACGACGCCGACGCCAACGACGACAATGAAGACGACGACGACGTCGCCAACGAAGACGACGACGAGGGAGGAGGGAGGACGACGACGGCGACAACGACGACACCGACGACAACGACGACAACGACGAGGAGGGAGGACGGCGACGACGCGAACGACGAAGAAGGAGGAAGGGCGGCGACGCTGATAATGATGACGACGAGGGAGGAGGGAAGACGATAATGATGATCACGACGAATCCTTGTGTTTTTGTAGGATTGTTGGACACACGATTTTGAAATCCTTCCGAAACGGATGGGTTTTGAAGGATTTAGGCATACGCGCGCGACGACGCGCGCGTCTGCACTTCGTCCCATTGTTTGCAGAGGATTCTCGCGACGGCACACGCGCAAGGGCGTTCGACAGATTTCGACATGTGCGCGCGCGAAGCCCGTTTGATAGCATGTTGTAAAAATCTTGGAATACCTATGGTTTTCTTGAAATTTCGCAAGAGCTCGCGTGTGAGCTTTTTTAGCAAATCAGTGTTGCGAAATCCTGTGCTTGTATCTTTTTTGGAAGCTCGATTGCGAAATCCTTCCGAAACCGAAGGTTTCTGAAGGATTTCGGCATGCGCGCGCCACGGCGCGCGCGTGTGCACTTCGTCCCATTTTTGTTGCAAGGGATTCGTGAAAAAGTGCTAAGTTAGAACAACAAATTTCACCGCATAACGTTCTGTTATAAGGGAACCTCCAGGGGGGGATACCGGCTGGCCTGGGACATTGTAATTTCATATGTAGGATGGACATGTGGTCATAACCATATATGATTTACATACCCGAAAGGGGTACCGATAACGCAGGGGGGGTGGTAGATCCTATTCTGTTTTTAGAAAGGAGAACACACTTTGACTGTCTTGAAGCTGTCCCCTCCACTGCTCGTGCAAACATTCATTCCACCCTCCCACCCGCAACCTGGTCGCAAGACCTCTTAAGACCGTGACGGAGACACCGACGCCGACGACGACAGCGACAACGACGACGATCACAGCGACAACGACGATGATCCCACGAAAATGTCAGCATTCTCGCCGATCGCAGGCCCCCCAAGGGACGGCGAGGGGTCGTGGTGATCCGCGTATGACGTACCTCCGCTGGCCCTCCCAGGAGCCCACGAAAGTGGCCACAGTTTGGCAGATCGCAGACCCCCAGGGGACGGCGAGGTCACGAGGCAGGGAGGAGGAGGACAAACACGAGGAGGAGGAGGAAGAGAATGGAGGGAGGAAGAGAAAGGAGGAAAAGGGGGAACAGCAGGAGGAGGAGGCGGAGGAGGAGGTGGGGACCGCACTGCTGTATTCAAAACGAGTGCCCAACACAGGAGGGTTGGGAAACAACAAGGTACAATTTACATAGGATTCGCGAGAACAGGAAACACAAGGTGATCCTGACATTTTTTGATGGCAGCATGGCCTGCATGCCAGACGGCGCTGATTGCTGACTCGAACGAATGCACGGGGCCAGCAAACAAGCAAACAAAACAACCAACATTATTTATATATACGCACACATACCTGCATAAATATGTGAACATATTTATATATACACGGATCAATGTTCGTGCAACTTGAACGCGGAGCGTAGGAAAACAGTCGATAACATGGCACCGCGGGGCCCACACACCTGCGTGTTCACAGCTCTGGTGTGGTCAAGCGCTGCCTCCTGTATGACAATGTCAGGCTCTGCTGCTACTGAGGCCCCGCGCCCTGTGTCCACAGGCTCGGAGCTGCCCAGAAATATGTTCTTCATTGCGACACATCTGTTCGTGAACACTGGGGCCCCAACTCGTGTGGTTTCAAAATTATGTTGGTGCGGAAACCTTATCCGCATGAAAGCATAAGGTTTCGTTAACGAGGGGGTACACCACATTGTGTGGTTTCCCAGGCACCGCGCCTATAATAGACCCATCTCCCATATGAAAACGCAATGTTTTGAGTACTAGCACAGCAATTCATGTGTTGCCATCGGGTGTCGCATTGAAGGGCAAGACGAAGCTTATGAAAAAAATGATTCAATTCCAAATCACATGTTATTGCCAGCCCCGACAAAACGGTCAGCAAAAAACAACATGAGGTGGGACCCTAGTGGATCTGAACAAATCCGACTTATGAACTCAATACGACATGAACAAAAACGGATGAGGAAGAAAAAGGAGGGGAGCGGACATTTATGAACTTTGAATGGGGTCTCGGCAACGGTGAGGCTGATAAAACGACGGGCGGAGTATAAACACGATGACACATATACGCTGGAAGAACGCATTTGTTTCAAACATTGCGTTTCAATATAATTTGGCGCGACCCAGAAAAGTTCCAAAACGTTTTCAAAATATGAGCTACGCCTTTCCAAAGAGCACTGGCATGTTGCTTGTACCGCTTGAAGAAGTTTTGTGTTGATCGTATAGCCATGCACTTGCACACTCTGTCGGTAGCAGCGCATGAACTGCTACGCGTGCGAATTCAACTTGCCCAAGCTTACATTGCAGAAGAAGAGGAGGCAGAGAGAGGAAGGGCGGGGCAGGAGGGGGAGGAGGGAGGATGAAAGGGAGAGGAGGGAGGATAAGGGTGGCAAGGAGGAGGGCGCGGGGGAGGCCAAAAAGGGAGGATGTGGGTCAGGATGAAGGAGGGGGGGAGGGATGGAGGGAGGAGGAGGAGGATGAGGAGGATGACGAGGAGGGTGGAGGCATCGCAAGGGGCGAGGATGAGAAGAACGGCGACCAGAAAGAACAAGAGAGACGATCATAAGCGTCGGGGTTTCGAAGTCATTCGAAATTGAGTGATGGGGTGTGTGGGAGCATTGAAACACGACTGTATAAATGTACACATACACTTGTATACGTACAGTTTTAAAAAATGTATATATGCGCATGCAAAAAAAAGGCACAACAAGTATGTGGATCTACGCGCTTATAAGGACAGACGCATACACACCTACATATAACCACCCGCCTCTGATAATCACACACAGGGAATAGTGAACGTCGCCCCCCCAAGAATAATATACATGGCCCCCGGCAACTCGCATGTACGGATGTACAGGAGTTTGGTGTGCGAATGAATGTCGTGCGGGGTGCAGCGGTAATGGTGTACGGATGAAACTGGTTTACGGATGTAATGTGCAGGAAAAAACAGTGCCGTTCAAATTCCTTGTTGAAGAGCAATGAATTAAATAACGTGCTCATCACCCCACGTGGAGCAATTGATCCCGGAATTGGCTGGCGACAAAGAACCCCTGGCTCAAAAGGTGTGCCCGTGTGGATACCAGTGCTGGTCGTGAAATGATAACACCAGTCGTAGTGGCAGAAGTAACCGTATTAGTAGTACATGTACTAGTCCTAGTAGTAGTAGCAGTAGTAGTAGTAGTAGTCGTCGTCGTAGTAGAAGTGGTAGTAATAGTAGTAGTAGTAGTAGTAGTAGTAGTAGTAGTAGTAGTAGTAGTAGTAGTAGTACGAAGTAGTAGTAGTCGTTGTAGTAGTAGTAGTAGTAGTAGTAGTAGTAGTAGTAGTAGTAGTAGTAGTAGTAGTAGTAGTAGTAGTAGTAGTAGTAGTGGTAGTAGTCGTAGTAGTAGTTGTAGTAGCAGTAGTAGTAGTAGTAGTAGTGGTGGTAGTAATTATACTAGTACTGATGGCAGTTATGCCAGTAGTAGTAATAGTAGTAGTAGCCGTAGTGGTCGTAGTAGTAGTACTAGTAGTAGTAGTAGTAGTAGTAGTAGTAGTAGTAGTAGTAGTAGTAGTAGTAGTAGTAGTAGTAGTCGTAGTAGTAGGTGTTTTTGTTGTTGTTCTGGTCGGAATAGTAGTAGCGATAGGAATAGTAGTAGACGTCACCGTTAAAACAATCATAATGGCAATTGCAGCAGAAGTCGCAGTAGCAGTGGCCGACGCAATACTAGTAAGTAGTAGTAGTAGTAGTAGTAGTAGTAGTAGTAGTAGAAGTAGAAGTAGTAGTAGTAGTAGAAACAGCAGCAAAAATATCAGTAGTACTCGTAATAGTAATAGTAGTAGTAGTAGTAGTAGTAGTAGTAGTAGTAGTAGTAGTAGTAGTAGTAACAGTAGTAGTGGTAGTAGTAGTAGTAGCAATACTAGTCGTATTAGCATTATTATTAATAGTAGTAGTAGTAGCATAGGTAGAAGTACCAATGCTAACAATAGTAGGGGTAGAAGTAATCGTAAGGTCCTACGACTCCGCCTACAACTACTGCGACGACGACTACAAGCAGTAGTACTAGTAGTCGTCGTCGTCGTCGAAAAATAATGAAAGAAGTGCAGTAGGAGTAACATTATTAGTAGTCGTAGTAGTAATAGTAGCAGCAGCTGGAGTAGTCGTAGAAAGAGCAGGAGTACTCGCACACGTAATAACAGATACAACAGCAATCGTTAGTAGTAGCCGTAGGAACAGTCGTAATAGCAATAATAATAAAAAGTAGTAGTAGTAATACTAGTAGTAGTATAGTAGTGGTAGTGGTAGTGGTGGGAGTAGTAGTAGTAGTAGTAGTAGTAGTAGTAGTAGTCGTAGTCGTAGCAGTAGCAATCGTAGTAGTAGTAATAATAAACGTCGCCGTCGTCGTAAAAATAAAATGTAGTAGTAGCCGTAGTAGTAAAAGTAGTAGTAGTAGTCGTACTCGTAGTCGCAGCCGTGGTCGTAGTAGTAGTAGTAGTAGTAATAATAATAATAGTATTCGTCGTCATCGCCGTCGCCGTAGTAATAGAAGTAGTAGTAGTAGTAGTCGTAGTCGTAGCAGTAGTAGTAGTAGTAGTAGTAGTAGTAGTAGTAGTAGTAGTAGTAGTAGTAGTAGTAGTAGTAGTCGTAGTCACACAAATAATACTTGCAGTACAGCTACGATTCGAACTTGGCTGGAAAATAATAAGGTTCGCCCCCCCCGCCCCCCCCATTGCCGACCAAACGAGTAGTGCCTGGGGATAATCAACACAGGAGGGATGAATGAGGGGCTATACTTTATTATCCGGGGAAGGCGGCTACATAGGTAGAGAGCGAGAGCGAGAGGGAGAGCGAGAGAGGCAGGGTGAGGATAACTCTGGGTGGGTTACACCGAGAAGCTCTGTGGGTCTACGAGGACGCACAGAACACCGCGGTCATCTCCAAATTTCTCCGGAACGCCCTGGGAGCATCCCGGCGCGCGCTGGGGCGATGCATCCTCATCCTACGAAGGCCAGAGAGAACGAGAGAGGGAGAGAGAGAGAGAGAGAGAACTGCAACGGTATCGTTACCTCCTCTGATCATTGCAACTCTTAAATTGGCCTGCAGTGGACCTCCGACCCTCCATGGGGCGCGGACTGCTCTCCTGGCAGCACGAGAACATGACATTGAAAACGAGGAGCCTTCCCTCCTCCCAGCAAGGTAGGTAGGAAAGCGAGCGACGACCGCGGCGGCCCAAAAGATAACGAACCTGAAACTAAAACGAATCGAACCAGTTGTAGCAGCGGACTCACAACATCCCCACCACATCACAGAAACGCGTCGGCTCAAGACTTTGCGGCCGATATTTCGCGCCCACCGCGTTCCGTTCCGCGAAGGGGATGAGCAGTTCACTGCCATGGCGAAGATCACGGATAGCCAACTTTGGAGATTGTCGGCGAGTCTGCGCCGCAAGAGTCGTCCACAAAGAAACAGAACAAGCTAGAATAAGCGAGAGTTCAAGTCGACGAGGATGCTTAAACACGATAGCGACCAAAGCCGAGGAGTACAAAGCCAGCAAAGCCGACGCAGAGCTAGCCAAGAAACGCCAAGCAGATGCCCAAACATATGCTATTTCACTGAACATGCGCCCGCAAAGTCTTGGCAGAGTCTTAGGGGCTCCCTTGACCACCGCCCGCTGTGCGTTATTGAGACGTGGCCATATCGCACATGAGATGGCCCAGCATGTGGGTACGTGTCGGTGCATCGAACGTGCGACATTCCGCATGATCGTTTCTTGCTAGATGTTCCAATCCCAGCGCGACCCGCCTCGAACGCAGCCAAAAGCGGCACCGCACGCTTACGAACCGCTTGAAGACCCCGCGAGCCGTATGTAGTGACAGCTCTTTCGGCAATTCAGAAACCGAGGTCCAAATTGACATGTTAGCTAGAACGAGAACAACGAGCAACGCCAACTCAAAGTTAGTTAGTTAGAACAGCGACGACGAACAACACAGCGGCAAGACAGAAAGTTAGCAGCCAGGGAAACCGATGCAAACAACGAATATGGTTCAAATTAACTTTCGTCTCGCCAGAGGAGAAGCCTGACTCAGCGCCAACCCCGCCCAACCAACTCAGAAAACAACTGCGGGGCACTTTACTCGGATCTTCCGAAACTCGGCTCAGCCAATATATGAGGCCACCTCTAGGGCCACGACCTGTGAGTAGGAACATCAAGCAGGAAGGCTTTCAAAGTAGATTGGGTCTCCGCCCATCCCTCTGAAAAAAGGCGGGAAGAGGGAACACCGATCGACTCTTGAAACCAAAGGCGGCCCAAAGTAGATTGGGACCTGCGCTGAAAAAACAACTGACAACAACCGATGGGCATCGGTCTGTACCTCCTCTGACATTTGCAACTCATATTTTGGTCTGCAGTGATCGGAAGAGGGCAAAACTGAGACAACGGCGGCACTCCTGCCTGGCCCAAATCCGCTCAAAATCAGTCCCCATACCCCTCCAGGGTCTATCCTGACCCGTTTTTCGTGGCGGATCCAGCCGTGGCGACGAGAAGCCTCCAGGAGGCTCAAAACGACAAAAAGGCCAGCTAGGATCGGGTCGGGCGAAAGGGAGGGATAGCAGAGGGGGGGTTTGAGAATCAGCTCGCGTAGCTGATTTTCCTGGCGCCTCCCGGCGCCGGGAGCCGCCATGTATCGAGGAATTGGCCCCTCGGTGAGGCCGAGACCAGCTGCATGCAGCAAATTTCGTAAACCCCCTTTCCCAATCCCCCCCTTTCGCCCGACCCGATAGGACCGCCGCTGTCTCCACTGTCGGCTGCACACGAAGAGCGACCCTGCGCACGAGGGGCCTTGGGGGCGCATTCTTCGGGGCGCCGCGGGGGATGCCAAATCCAAGCATTCTATGAAGGGGCCCCAGGACACACAAATAAATACACACAAATAAAAATAATCCCCATATTTTCCCATATTTTCTGGGATGTTGTCTTCCCCCCCACTCCCCATATTTTCCTATATTTTCCTGGGAATCGACGATTAATTGTGTCTGTGTGTTTTTTCCCCTCCTGAATTCTAGGCACCCATAGGTCGGACAAAGTAGGTAGCAACATGAAGTAGGAATGCGTTGAAAAGAGATTTTGGGTTTCCGCCCGCCCCTTCAAAGGAACGGAACAAGGAAAAACCATTCGATCATTGAAGCAGGGAGGCGCCTAAAGTAGATTGGAACCTGGGAATCCCAAAATACCCACTTTCAACGACCGATGGGTCGCCGAAACTGTCGGGGGCGCGCAAACATGGATAAGCGACCCATGCATTTGGCGCGCGGCCGCCAAATCTATGCATTTTGGGGAGGTGCCCTCCCCAAAATGCGGCGGCCGGTGCCGCCTCGCTCGGCGGCGGAATTCCGCGATCTCCCATGGAAGCGGGACCCGTCGCTGATCCAGGGCCCCTTAATCCATGCTTGCGATCGCCTGAAACTGGCCCTCCTCCGATCCGATCCTCCCCATTCCGCCGCAGCCCACCCGGCGGCGCCGTCGCAGCGGCCGCTCTGCCCGGGGCGGGAAGCGATGCACGCGAGCAGGCGGCCGCTCTGGAACTGGTCCTCGACGCCTGTGCCCGGCGCCCGGCGGGCTGGCCATCGTCATAGTCAGCATCATCTTAGTCACCACCAGCATCATCATCAGCAGCATCATCAGTTGTTTCCTCCCTTCTTCGGAGGCCAAAACAGCAGGTTCTCAGAGCCTGGCTTGACATATTCTGGCAAGATTGTTGTGCACGAAGGAGTCCCCAAATACAGCCAGACAAAGTGTCGTGGTGTTTTCGCACAGTCGGAAACAGAGGCGTCGTTCGTGACAGCATCGGCCTGCCCCGTGTGGTTGGCTGTGGCAGGTCCTGAAGAGGATAGTGGCAGGTCCTGAAGAGGATAATCAACCACACGCCGAAACGCTGGAGACGGACTGGATCAGGGGTGCCCGAAAGAGTGGGCATACTCAATCCTGGACCAGAAAGGGAACCAAAGGAAGTTGCGCAATCAACTGTTTCTCGGCGACCCTGGCGTGGTTGTCCGTTGTCAGGCGAGCCTGAGGCGGGTGTACAAAGAATGCCTTGTATGTTGCACTAGTACGGGCATGCTCGGCGAATGACTGGTTATCAGCCGAAAATCTCTCCAGGAGCTCGTCTTCGGTGGTGCGGCCTTTTTTTTCCCAACAGTCAGAGAAGTAGCAATCGTGGCTTTACCAAAAGGGGGGTCGCAGGTGCGCTTTGATTATCCACGAACGCCTAACGCAAGGGTCGGGTGGCTCACACCCCTGGGCCGTGGTTAGACCCCGCTCATGGAAAATGGGGCCCAGCGAAAGGGAGCTCACATGGCATAGCTCGGGGGCGCACAACGTGCGCCGCTCGGGGTTCACCCTGACGCACGCGTCCTACCTGACCTCCGCGCTGTCGCAAGGCCAGACGCTGCGCAACGGCGTCACCATCGACTGCGCGGGACGAGGACGCTGGCCGCACGGGCATGTCGGACGAGCAGTGGTGGCTGCACCTCTACGTCACGCTCTCCCGCGCCACGCGCGTGCGGAACGTGCTGATCCTGCGGCCGCCGCCGCGGGAGTCCCTGGAGCGAGGGCCGCCGGCGTCCCTGCGGAAGGCGCTCCTGGAGTTCGACAAGAGAACGGTTTTGTCCACGGCGGAGGCGAAGCAGCTCGCGGCAGACTTGGGTTTCGTGCTGCCCGCCTGAGCGCGGCTGCGCCCCGCTCGAAGCCCGCGGGGTTGTCCCAACGGCTTGGTCTTGCGCGCAAGCGGCTCGCGGGGTTGTCCCGACAGCCTGGCCCGCGGGGTTGTCCCAACGGCTGCGCGACGTGGCCATTAGAGAACGCGCCTGTGCTGGCCGAGGCGGCGACGGCGCCGAGGAAAACCGACATGCGCGCTCATGCAATGGAAAGGCGAAGAGGTGGCGGGGCGCGGGAAAAAACAGGAGGGCGAGGTCGGGGGCAACGTAGGGAACGGGGGGAGGGCCCGCGCCAGGGCGAGAAGAAATATACGCAGAAGAGACAGCCAGGACGCCTCACCAACCACGAGGACGACGGTGAGGGTTTTTTCCAGATTCGCCCAGAGGATTCTCATGTGGGGTCCTTCCGTCGGAGTAATTCAGGCACAAGCCAGCGTTACTTGGGGGTGGGCGAAGGGGGGTGCACGCTCCTGGGTCCAGCTTCTGCTTGGACGCCAAGTACTTCTGCTTCGCCATGACGTGGTGGCTCCTGCGGCGGGCGCCCCCTGTGATCCGGCGGACCCGCATGTGGCCTCGCTTCTTTTGGGAAGCAATACACGTCGGTCGGAAGAAGTATATAGAAACATGAAGTAGGAAGGCGGAGATAAATAGTAGATTGGCTCCAGGTCCTCCCAGAGAATAACAACACACAGCAAAAGCATGTCCGTTCTGGAAGTAGGACGGCGCTTGAAATAGAGTGGGATCTGGGACTCCAAAGATACCTACTTTCAACGACCGGCGCGTACAGATCTGCAAATGCAGACACGCATGTATGTGACGGGGTCCGCAAACCCTGAATCCAAACATCTTGCCATCTTCTGGGAGGCCGCTTCTTACTTCCGCCCGCTTCCGCCAGCCGCCAGCGGAGGCGGCCTCGTTTTCCTTCGGCTGGCTTCCACCGCCCTTCCGCCGACTCCAGCCGAGGAAGAGAAGGCACCTCCTTCGATCCTCGAAGGCGAGGCTCTTCTTGGAACGCCGCATGTATACACACACGCACATATATGTATATATATACATATGTATGTATACATATATCTATATAAATATATATACATCGAATACTAGAACCACGCGCGTGCTTAGCGCGCGCTCAGGTTCTACCACCCCCCCATCCCTCAACAAAAACTGCGGTGCACAGAAACACGAAGAAAAGTATGGGCTGACCATACGTTGCGACGACAATTACAAGGACACAAGGACATCCTCAGAGGGATGGGGAGGGAAGCGTCATCAAAAGGTCTTTCCTTCTTGCCCGCCTGTTCATCACCTTACCTCCTCACTCCTCCCACCTCTCCGTCCTTCATTCTTCCGACCTCCATCCTGGCCAACCCATCGCCCTCCCTAATGACCACTTCTTCGTCCTCCTTCTCTCATCCTCCCTCCTCCCTCTTCCACGCGTCCTCGCCCGTCCTCCCCCTACTCTCTTCTCTCCAACTCCTGCCTCCCTTCTGCCTACGGCTGGACCATCACGCGAGGCTGGTAGGGCTTTCATGGGACGCTCTCGTACCTTGTTTGGCCCCTCGTTGGGGCTGCCTGGGTGGCTCCTAAGGCCGTCTTCTGGGTGTCTTGGGGCGGTCTCGGGACCCAGGTGGGACTCTCTCAGGCCTTCTTGGGGCCTCATTGGGTCGGCGTTTCAATGGGGCATGGCACTGATTCTGTAGAGCTTATGAACAGCCGGATTCAATACGGCTTGAACATAAGGCCTCTGCAACACTGCCTGTGCGGAAGATGGTACCGAGGCAAGCGTGGACAAGCCAGCGCGTTCTTTATTAATCGAGAAGAGAAGAGATGCACGCACAGCTGGGGACCACAAAGCGGACATATGTCAACAAAAGGAGATCCAGAAGTCTGGAGCTCAACATCGTAAATATGCACTTCTCAAAAGGGGAGGTTTGGGAGCAGTGCAACATCTGAAAAACAACTCAATGAACATCAAACATGCGACGATACAGCACCCAGACGAGACCCTGGCAGACACAGCTGATCGAAAAAATAGATTACTCGGCCGACTACTACTTCGAAGACGTCAATGGAAAATACGCTTCACGGGGATAGTGCCAAAACCGCGAGCTCCCCTAGGTGATCTGTTGACTTTCAACACGGGCCCATGTATCATAAAACTTTTGGTCGGAGCGCTGTGCCGGCTACGTCGTGGCCAAGGTCGTGGCCAAGCTCCGGGGCCCGATGCGATTCAGCCAAACTTGTGAGTGAGATTTTGGGCACAGACCTGGACCCCTCGCGAGGGTCACAATTTGGAGAGTCCGCCCTGTCCGTGAGACGGCCGACGCCCTCACGCTAGTCAGGCGCATGATTGACGCGGCTTCCAACAAAAAACATGGCGGTCTGATTTTGTTACTGTTAGATTGAGCTACGTCTTTCGACAGACTCAAGCCTACACGTATGTGCGACGCTTTACGACGATTTGGGCTTCCCTCGGACGTTGTGGCCATGGTCGAAACTATCTACTCAGAGCGCTATTTCACGGTTGTGGACCACATGGGGAAATGCAAAGAGAGACAATCAACGGCAAGCATTGTACCAAGATGCCCCATTTCCCCATCCTTGTTTATTGCAGTACAGACCGTCATGTTGCACTATGCTTGCTTTTGGGTCCATCAACTTAGAAGTCGAAACAGCCTATGTGGTGAAGCGCGGAATCCTATATGCAGATGACACACAACTGGTCTCGCAAAACAGGACAAACGCTCAGAACATGCTTACACAACTGGTCTCGCAAAACAGGACAAACGCTCAGAACATGCTTTAACACTGTTGGCTCAGAAGGCTGTAAATATGGTCTCGAGTTAAACTGGGACAAGACATTACACATGCATGTTTCAACTAGTGTCGTCGTTGTTCGGCCGGTGGTTCGATCAAAACTGTCTGGGGAGCTGTTTACTCGGGTGTGATGCTTCCTTACCGTGGTAAGGCAACAACCGAAATCAGCCGCCCATTGGGCGAAGCGCATGGCATCTTCAATTCACTTACCAAGATTTGGTCGCACATCGCTGTTGGCTGAAATTAAAAAGTCACAAAGTATGGCAGTGTGGTTGTAAATCAGCTGTTGCACTCGCTCGACTCACTGTGGTTGTTCAAGGCGGGCAAAGCGAGGCTCGACGCCTTCCACTGCCGCTGCCTTCGCCATCTCCTCGGCATTCCGCATTTCTTCTGTTCGAGAATAAGCAATCCCAGCGTTTTGGAAAGAACTTTCGACAAACCCCATATCTCAAATCCGACTTAAAACAAAAGGGGAATTATACTACACCTGGATCGCTTCCAATGCACTCTCATCCTTGGTGCATCAATGTCGATGGAATCTGGACGGTGCCCCAAGAGATTCTGCGGAACACTCGCGGCGCGGCCGGCCCAGACAGCAGTGGGCTTCTGAAGTGTACGAGATAGCGCTGCACATATGAGGCTTCCCACCCCTGTCCTCGTCTTACCCCCTCACCCTGTCTTCTCCTTATTCTTGCACCTCGCAGTCGTGCTGTTCTTCACTTTCTGCCTCACAGTCTTGATGCGCACCGTGGCCTGCTGCACAGTCGTGGGGCGCTCCGCGTTCTCGCTCTGCTGCGGCTCTCATGGAGAGTTGCCAATTGCGCGCTCTTCCGCCCGTTCGTCCTCCTGGGTGCACGGCTTAGCAGTGGTGGTGGACTCCTTTTGGGCTGCCTCGGGCCCCTAGAGACCGCCTTGGGTCTCTTAAGGCCCTCTCAGCTCCCTCTTGGTGCCCTCTTGGGCCGTCCTGGGGCAATCTTGGGCCAGGTTGCAGCCGTGTTGTGGCCGTCTTGGGCAGGATTCGGACCAGCTTAGGGCTCCCATGAGGCTCTCTAGGATAGTCTTGCGTCGATGCTGGGAGTCTCTGGAGCCTTCTTGGGCACTCTGAAGACAAACACAAATAACATGTTCAATGTCTGACGAAACCTGAGGAAAACCCAGATTCTGCCTGTCAGGAACTTCTTGGGAGCTCTCTCGGGCTGGTCTTGGAATGGATGGGGAATTTCCAAGCAGTCTTGGAGCCTGCTTGGGCCGTCCTGCGTTCCGCTCTGGCCGTCGTCTGGGCATCTTGGGCCGTGTTAGGTCCATCCCCTGTTGCGGCCCTTGGGGGGCGCAACCCCGAATTCAGGGTCCTGGCCAAGCCCCCTCTGGGCCGAAAGCGCGGTGAGGATATATAAATGTAATAATAAAATCACAAATACACACAGGCATTTACGCGCGCACACACACACACGCGCGCGAACACACACACACGCGCGAACACACACACACACGTACCTACATGCACACATGCATGCATACATGCATACAGACATACATACCTTCATGCATGCGTTCACGCATGCATACATTACATACATACCTCCAATCCTTATCTACATACCGACCTACCGACCCATATACCTACCTACCTACCCACGTATCCACTGACCTCCCTACTTAAATACCTACATACATACGTACACACGCCTACACACATACATTTGCACACATATAACCACATACACGCAACCATGCATGTATGCATACATGCATGCACATACATACCTGCAAGCATAATCACATTTATGCATTCGCACATACACGCATGACATACATCCGTACACACATACAACCACACACACATACACGCATCCACACATACATATATAAGTGCAAACCACATACATGCATGCATGCATGCATACTTACCCGCACATAGGCATACACACATACATACACACATGCGTACATAACATACTTGTACACATTAAGTATGCACATCTGTATATGTGTGTATATATGTGTATATATGTGAATTACACATATAGAGAGAGAGAGAGATTAGAAGCACGCGCGCTTCGCGTGCGCTTAGGTTATAGCACACTCTAGTTGTAGTATGAAGTGAGGACATCGATTATCTCACGGGCCGTACCATCAGGGAGCTCCAACTGCGGCCCCAGAGACAAGCTTGGCCAGCGTGCCCCGGCCCTTGTTGGCACACACCTCACAGGGATCGCGCCCCACAGGGAGCTCCACCTACGTCCACAGAGACAAGGTTCGCATAATGGCACGCCCCTCACGCGGATCGTGTCCCGCAAACAGCTGCATGTGCGGCACCAGAGTGAAGCTTCATAACGTCGCCCCGCTCACTTCGGCACACCTCTCACACGGATCGTGGACCGCAGAAGGTTCCACGGACGGCCCTGGACACAAGGTTCGCATACCGTCCTCCCGTCTACTTCGGCACACCTCTCGCACACGGATCGTGGCCCACAGGGATCTCCACCCACGGCCTCATCGGCAAAGTTCGCACTGCGCGCCTCTGGCCATTGTCACGCGGATCGTGCCCACAAGGAGCGCCACCTAAAGGTCCAAAGACAACATTCGTACACCGCTCCCCCTCCCATGTCGGCAGACCCGTCGCGCAAACCATGCCCCATTAGGAGCTCCACCGATGGCAACAATGGGCAGCTTCGCATGGCGTACCCCCGCCAAATTCGGAACATGCCTCGCACGGGGCGTGCCTGGACTGAGGTCCACTTGTGGCCTTATAGTCAACCCGTCTCGTAAGGATGCGCGGTAAGGATGCAAGGGTCTTGAAGGGCCAAGTTGACGTTTGTCGAACGAGGTTGGCGAGTGAAAGTCGCTAAGCATGGGCCGAAGGGACAAGGATGCAAGGGTACTCTTGGGAAGGTTGCCCATCCTTACTATCGCCTTTGCGTTTTCGTGTTCCCGACGGGGTTCTCGCTGGAACCTTCGAATATCCTGTGACCAAAACCCTGAAATTGTGCAACAGCAAACTCCACGGATGGGAAACGGCTTCTTGGCAAAACTGGGCTTTTGCTGGGCACTTATTCGGCCTTCTGACTCTTCCAGAGAGCGCGAGCGAAATCTCAGCTTCTCTCCTCCTGACATGGGGCGGAGGGGGGAGAGAGAGGAGGATTACTAGGAGAGGCTATCGGAGGGTGGGCCAAATCGCGTCGCAACCGCCAGCCGGAGCAGACCCAGCCCAAGGGGTCGCGCTGGGCGGCTCCTCTTGACCTCCTCTTCGCCCTCCTTCTTGACGGCGACCCCCTTGATCTTTTTGCCGAGGTCCACACCGAGTGGGGGCGGGAGGGGGCGCAAAGGGAAAGGGAAGGCAGTGCGAGGCTTCATGCTGGGGACCCGAACCTCCGAGGCTGAGACTTTGCTGCGAATGTGGGCCGCAAGAACTCTCGGCAGTTCCACGTAAAGGCGACCCTAGGCAAGAGTGACACTTGATACGCGGCTTTTGAGGGGCGCGAGGGGGCCAAACCCAAGCGCATCGGCCAGCGCTGTTGCATGGCATTTAGCAATCGGGGGACCCCAATGGGCCCTCACCAAAGGTCACTCCGGCGAAAGGTCACTCTTACCCAGAGATCCGGTGCCCTGATTTGTTTAATACGCGGTCCCCAGAAAACCCGACCTTTTCCCCAGGGCCAGTGCTTCATCCTGAGTCGTGTTTGGAGTGTCCCGGGGCGGGTCGAGGGATTCTAGGGAGGCCAGAAGAGGCAACCACCTACGTCGTGTTTTTTCAGTACTCTGGATCACTGGGTACGCGTAGTCGATCTCAACCCAACCCACGGGGCGAATGATGCATCCAGTCCTTGTTCTACGGCGCCCGGGGCCCCCAGAGGCCCAGACCACGGAGACGCCAGCCACCGCGCCCTTGCTCGTGACAGCGGAGGACTGGACAGGATCAGTCAGCATGGCATCGAAAAATCATGTCAAAATCGAAATGTGCGGAGGATCGGGCTGCATCGGCATGGAATCGGAATCGTATCGGATCGACCGTGCCAGGCAGGAAGCAGGTCGGCGCCCAAACAAAAGGCGGGCCGCAACGGAATCGAGTCGGATCGAGCTGGCAAGAGTCGACATGATCGAACCGCATCGCTGGGGGACCCTGGCCAGAATCCCAGATGTGCCAATGAGGAGACCCCAGTAGCCCAAAAGAGATCCAGTGAGTGCCAGCGTGGACCACAAACACGAAGTTCTTGCACTCAGGGCATGATATGATGCACGTGGCGCTGGCTATGTGGTGCAAGGCATATGGAGCATTATACGGAAGGCTTCGTGCTGCAATTTATGTGGTGCAATTCACCTTGCTGGCATCCGCGCGTGATCACCTCCAATGCTCGTAAAGACATCCCACCCACCAGCCCGGAACTTCATGGCAATACTCAACTGGGCGGCGACAGCGACGATTACGAACGCAATGATATGCTAAATTGACGGCTCCGACTGGGGGGGCCAAATCGGCACCCCCCTCGGTTTGATCAGTGGTCCCCAGAAAGGCCCCGAAAAGGGCCCTCAAGTTTTACAAGAGGGCCCCAGATGGGCCCCAATAGCGCCACAAGAGAGCCCCTACAGGGCCCAAGAGGCCTCCAAGATGGCCCCAAGAATGCCCGACGATGGATCCAACGTCGCCGTCGCCGTCGCCGTCGCCGTCGCCGTCGCCGTCGTCGCCGTCGTCGTCGTCGCCGTCGTCGTCGTCGTCGTCGTCGTCGTCGTCGTCGTCGTCGTCGTCGTCGTCGTCGTCGTCGTCATCGTCGTCGTCCCCCAAGGGGGCCTCCAACGACCCGCACCGATTCGAAGGCGGATGCCTTTCACTGATGGGCCGCAAGCTGCTATCCTGACTAGGGCAAGTCGACTGACGTTTGTTGCTTCATGGGCTGGTGGGATACTTTTTTGGTCCGCGGCTCAAAGGCGAAAGGCGAGAGACAGGGAGTGAGCACAACGACCGGGGCGCGGTACGTCATTAATTGGCGCGAGATTGCCGCGGACTCCAGCGGACAACACTCGCAGCGGCACATGCACATGCTAGGGACAAAATGCCTTCATTGAGACGCATTTCAGCGTCTGCTGGTGACCGGCCCAGACAGCCCGGCTGGTGGGGAAGCAAAAAACGCGGCAACGAGGCGACAAAAGAACCGGGAGGAGAAGTCGCCTTTGCGGCGCCAAGCTCCAGCCGAACCGCAACCGTAAGCGAGGCTAAGACGGACAGCAACACACTGTAACAATCCGCGGGCACAACGCGAGTCCGAGCGGCCAATGACCAGACGGAGCCCACGTGTGTGCACACTGACCCAGGCCGTCCAATACCTCGGAAAAAAGGGGGGTGAGCGCGAGCGAGAGCAACTAACGCAGACTCACTGCACCTCCACGAGCATACGATGATGCGGCGAGGGTGACCCGTCTCACCAAGGCTCACTGAAGCTGAGGTGTGGCTGATCCGCGTCCGAGCACCATCCAGTAAGAAACATACCACTGGTGTGCGCTCACGTGGCTGAGCAACCTCCAGCCGGTAGCCTGCGCGCTCACATCGTATCCGAATCACGCTGTTCGGGGACACGACGATGCAATTGTACTGACGAGGGCTAGTGGCTGTGGCTGCGCCGAGAAGAGCGAAACGAACTCGAACCGTAGAAGGCTGAACCACTCAATGCGGGGCCGTTCACCTTGACGAAACCAATCACCATGAGTAAGGCGGACAGCCGCACCCACTCAACACCTGCCACGCTGCCCGTGTAGAAGCCAAATACCTCCGACGCCAGGGCGAACCGATTGCTGGCAGCTGCAGAACTGCTGGGCCGTACCGTTCGCTGGCGGCGTGCTGACGGCGGGCCAAGACGTGGGCTGGTGGGATACGCGTAGCGTCAATACTTCATATTTGCCAACTCGTGGGCTGGTCAGTCCACTGCTCGCGCAATCATCCCACCCTCGAACACGTAACTGGTTTAGCAAAGCCGATGCGGCCGCGAGTGCGGAGACTGCTTGGCCCTCGCTGGCGCATCTCTGCGGCAGCGCAAGCGCGAGTAACGGCCAGCTCGTTTGGCACACCTGATGCGGCAACGACGGCGAATACAGCTGGAAACTTCCCAACGCGCCGCACAGGCCGCGCTGGCGCTCGAGCGCTTCAATGCGGGTCGGTGAATCGGGCGGGCGCGGTATCATGATAACGCCGATAACGGCGGCAACGATGAGAATAATGGCTCATGTGGGGGCGATGATGACGATGATGACGGTAAGGCCAATGCAGGCGCCGATGCTGGTGACAACGATGACGGTGATGATGTCCATGTGCCCGTAGTGAAGGTGCTTGAGTGATGATGCCTGCAATGGCGGCGATTGTCGATGACGGTAACGTGACCCGGCGACGCCGATAAGGATAATGGTGAGGCAGTGCGCGCGCGGGAAGGCAAGATGCATGGCATATCTTCTTTGGAACAACGCTTGGTACGGCCGGGCCTAAAACATAATAATATCATTTAAGAGCATGAGACCCTCTGCCAGCCAAACTGAAGAACATTCGAGGGTACCCTCCCCCAGGACGCACAAGAACATCGAACAAACACAAAGAACACTAGGGCACCCTCCACGAATCGATCTCGATCTGATACCTCGGTCCGACCGTATTTACTGTGTGTGTGTGAAGATCTCTTTCTAGAAATGCTTCGAAAACCAATGGCTTGAGACAGATTTCGACACTCGCGCGTGGCGGTCCGCGCGTGTGGCCTGGCCTGCATGGTATTGTGTGATGCGGATTCGTGCACTGGGTGCGCTCGTGTGCGAAACACAGATCCGCATCCGCGGCCTCGCGGGCCAGGCCCCTGGACCCCGACCGGCGGCCACAGGGCGTTGTTTCACGGAGGCTCCGCGCGAAACACACCCGTGCGACCGCGCACCCGCGGGATCGTGCCCCGGAAGCCAGGCCGCGAGGGCGCGGATACGGATGTGCTCGCCGCTTGTGAGCTTGCTGGATTCACGCGGACGCAACGCGCGGTGAGATTGAGAGCGCGTGTCTTGAACGAGATTGCTAAAATCATACGGTTTCGGATGGTTTCGGAAAATGTGCGCGAGCCAGAACAGCTGCACGTGTTTGGTTGACGGCAGACCTGAGACCTCGATGCTCTTGCATGTGGGAATGCTTGCACAAGCTGGTGTGTGTTGGCATGAGCTGGGCATGTGCTGGTGTGTGGACCTTGTGCCATGCTTACTCAGGGGGGCCTAAACCATGATCTTCTGAGATCGATGAATGTGCGGGCAAAGTACTGCCTGCAACGATGAGGCGGGGGGGGCGATAGCCGCTTGGCTGGAATGGTACGCACTCAAATGGCAAATGGTGTCTGAGTCTCCTCTGTTGATCGAGGCCTCCTAGATGGGGTCGGAGGATCTCGCATCGCCGATACATCCGATGATGCATCGGCGATGCATCGGCGATGCATCGACGACGTCAACGCTGCTTCGGCGACGTCGGCAAGGGGAAACATGGGCTCCACATCGGGCCGCATCGCCGATGCATCGCCGATGCGGCACGATCCTTCAACCCCACCTGCCCCGACCCCATCCAGGAGGCCTAGATGTGAAAAGGAGAACCGATGGGGTGCAGGAGGAGGGGGAGAAGGAGGAGGAGGAGGAGGAGGAGGCGGAGGAGGCGGAGGAGAAGGAGGAGGAGGAGGAGGAGGAGGAGAGGAGGAGGAGGAGGAGGAGGAGGAGAGGAGAAGGAGGAGGGAGGAGGCGCAGAAGAGGGGAGAGGGGAGGAGGAGGAGGAGGAGGAGGAGGAGGAGGAGGAGGGAGGAGAGGAGGAGGAGGAGGAGGAGGAGGAGGGGAGAGAGGGAGGAGGAGGGGAGGAGGAGGGGGAGGCGGAGGAGGAGAAGGAGAATTAGATTAGGCACGACTTTGGGCCCACAACTCTCAAGTTCACACAAAGCCGAGCGAGGCTGTGTGCGTACGCGCTAGCGTGGGGGGTTACGATCTGACTCCTCAAAAGACAAAAAATCAGAGAGGAGGAGGAGGAGGAGGAGGAGAAGGAGGAGGAGGAGGAGGAGGAGGAGGAGGAGGGAGGAGGCGGAGGAGGAGGAGGAGAGGAGGAGGAGGAGGAGGAGAAGGAGAATGCGGAGGAGGAGGAGGAGGAGGAGAAGGAGGAGGAGGAGGAGGAAGCTGTGGTGTAGTCTACGCCGTGCAAGCTCTGACGGCCCGTCAAGCGGCCAAATGACGAGGCGGCCGCGGGCGGCCGCCCGGCGAAAACCCGCCAGAGCCCGCCAGCGGACCGGCGCCCGCGAGGCGCCCAGGGGCGGCCACCAGGCGACAAGTCGCCAGACCCACCAGACTACGAGAAGAAGACAGTGAGGGGGCCCAGGGACACACAGATAAATACACACACACATCCCAGGATTCCCCGTATATTTCAGTACTTGTTTGATTGTCGTCTTCCCCCCCACTTCTCATACTTTCCCAGATTTTCCTCGGGATCGACGATTAATTGTGTCTGTGTGTTTTTTTCCCCTCCTGAACATCGGCATGTCCAGAAACTTGAAGAGGTCCACGCCAACCTCCAGAAGATGCCGTGCTCCTTCAACATACTTGCGAAGTGAGTATAAACATCAGTTGCAGGCCCCGTTGGGAGAAACCGACACTATCCTTGATCCTCGACGATCCTCCCCTGGAGAACACCAACTGCACGAACATAAACGTTCGGAGGCCCCCGTGGATTTCTTGGGGTGGGGTTGGAGCTCCCTTCTCGCGCGCGGAGCGCGCCCGGGACGGCGCCAGAGGCGCCGCTGGGAGTGCGGGTAGGGGCCGCCGCTGGCCCAAGAAATCCGTGCGGACCTCGGAACGTGTGTGCGCTGTGCCACTTCTTGAGCTCCCGCCCTCGAGGTCTCACCGTACTTCTTGAGGTAGTACTGCTTAAAGGGCTGCGCGTCGATCTGCACCTGAGCAGGAGGACGCAGACGATGCATCCACGCAAGCCCTGGCCAGGCCTATCCTGGGTCCCCGATCGGAGCACACGCCGTTCTGCTCTGGCCAGAAATCAGCTTCACGTACGCACCGATCCTGGGCCCACATCCGACGTCGTGATTTTGTTCGCAACTTGGACCCTTGACCCCCAGAGGTCTCGACAACAACCCGCCGGGACCTCTTTTGAATCCCGACTCGCTTCTTCTTGACCCCACCCCAGAGCCTGGCTAGGGCCCCATGGACACCAGAGACTGGCAAAACCGTTTGTCGCAGACATCCTCCGATATGATCCGTTCAATCCGAGACCAGAGCTCCCGGCCTCATCCCCAGAGGTAAAATTGAGTCCCCGGTCCCTTGTCTTTAGTCCCGGGAGGCCGCTTGGGGACCCTGGAGGTCTCAGGAGACCTCTGAATTGACTACCTACCAGACCACCCCAACCCAACCCGAAGACCCGAATTTCGGGTTGGGGGGGGTACGGGTTCCATATGTGCTTTCTCGACGTTCCCCGACCCCCCCCCCACTGGAAATGGAGGGCAAAAAGAGGCCTTCGGGTTGGGTTGGGGTGGTTTGGTAGGTGGTGACGAATTATCCCTCCTCCGTCATGCCCCCCCCCTTGTTGCCCCTGCTTCACCCCCACCTCCTCCCGCTGTGGGCAGATCGCGACGGAAGGCTTTTGGGCAACTGTCGGACGTCGGGGGCCCTCTATTCCTCTGGCGTTTTTTCGTGAAGGGAGCACCTGCTGCAAAGCGCTCCCCAGGACCACAGGCTGTGTATGAAGCCACCGGCAAGGTGCTGCGTACGCGTGCTCCGTGCACGGCAGAAACGACATGCCCCCCCTTTTTGTCCCTGCTTCACCCCACCTCCTCCCGTTGTGGACAAATCGCGACGGAAGGCTTTTGGGCAACTGTCGGACGTCGGGGACCCTCTATTCGTCTGGCGTTCTGCGTGAAGGGAGCACCTGCTGCAAAGCGCTCCCCAGGACCACAGGCTGTGTACAAGGCCACCGGCAAGGTGCTGCGTACGCATGCTCCGTGCACGACAGAAACGCCACGCTTGCAGCTTCTTCTCCACCAGGCACGGACCCCGAAGCGCACCCGAGACTTCCCAATGCTGGCTCTCAACCCTCGACATTGCCCAGCCTGTAGTCGATGTTCATCGCTTTGCTCTCTCAGCCTGCCAAGAACGACAACCTTTTTGACGGTTGCGAGCTGCATAGAACCGTGCCTCCCTGGGCAGGCAATGCTACATCGAACCGTGCCTCCCTAGGTAGACAATGCTACTCAGACCGCCGACAATGAGCGACACAAAGAAAATGCCTTACGCGAAATGACACAGCGACTACACGCCGCGGCTGACGCGGGCCGTCAGCGCGGCACGCTACACTGGAAACAAGGGCGCTCACGCGTGTCCTTGGACAGCTTACGCGCGAAGGTCGGCGGAGACGATACGACACCGTTTTCTTCCCTCAGTCAAGTGGCACCCACACGCCCCATGACTTCCAGCGCCGTGTCGTTCCAGCTGCAGCCGCAAGCATCGATAACGCTCGTGGTTCACGCGCGTTTCCTGGGACTCCGCCAAGACCTATGTACTGGCACCCCCTGTCACACGAAATGTGGGCGGCCTTCTGTCAGCGATCGCCTCCAACAGCGCTGCATCCACGACTGAAAAATGTCCACATGAGGCGCTCCGCAACCGCATTGAAGAAGATGGGTGTCAACACCTCCCTGTTTGCCGCCGTGTCGGGGAACTAATGGCCCGGGTCAGCCCGTGGTCAATGCGCCTTAGTCCTGCAAGATCCTGCAAGATCTGGCGATACGGCTGACCCCCGTTTGCATTGACCCCCCCGTCTCAAAGCCCCCGACCGTGGGTGAAGGGGAACGAGCCGGTCACGTCACACCCCGGTGGATTGATGCGGAGAATGATGCGCTTGATCTGCAGGTGGTTCCGCCTCCACTTCATGCTCTGCTCTGTGGTTCCGTGCCGCACGACGTCGAAGGCAATTCTGCCGTCCAGTAAGGCGACGAACACTTTGTCAACTGGAATTTGCTGAATGATGCTTGTACTGTCCGTAGTGCGCAATAACCAATCGAAGCCATGGGCGGGCATAACATGGCAACGAAATTGCGGTCACACCGCATCCTGCTACCACTTTTGGCGAATGTCTGCTACACGATTCAATTTCGATTCCTCCTCCTCTTCCTCCTCCTCCTCGCTCCACTTCCTCGCTCCTCCTCCCTCTCTTCTCCTCCGCGCTCCTTCGTCCTCGTCCTCGTCCTCGTCCTCGTCCTCGTCCTCCTCCTCCTCCTTCTCCTCCTCCTCCTCCTCCTCCTCCTACGCGTGATCTTTCTCCTCTTCCCCCCTTCCTCCTAGTCGCGTTCCCCTCGCTCCAGTCCCTGGGACGGATCGAATCGCGAAATCGGCACGGATCGGATACGGATCGGATGGCACCCGCAACGGCGCGGAAAACGCAGCGCGGAGTCGAATTATAAGCACTGTGCAAGGTAGACATCGCCAAAAACCGTCACAATGTAGAACACCTGTCTGGACTGCGAAGGGCCATGCCCCAAACGGTGCCGGCGCCGCGGGCGGGCCGCGCGCATCGATATTCGCACCGCCAAGCGCTGCCCGACGCAGGCGCCGCGCGATCAGAAAAGCTTGCGTTGCCATCACTCACTCTCTGACAACACCAAATGTCGAAAGTTCCGAGAATCAAACAAATAAAAACAACTGTTGGAATCTAGACGGTGCTCGCCCACTTGGGCGTTTTTTTCTTGGGCGCCGCCCACGCGGTTCCCACAACCCAGCTCACGACCTCGGGCCGCGGGCTCCACGGCATTTCCCGTCGCCTCGACCTCGGCCTCTCCCGCGGGCCGCGAGCACGGGGCGACGCCCCGTGTGGGAGGAGGAGTGGACGGGCATGGAAGCACGCGCAGAGCTCCAGGGGGGAAGGCAGGAGGAGGACGAGCGGGGGTGGTCTCTGTTCCTCCTGAGCCGCCCCCGAGCAGGATCCGGCCATCTGTCGGGCTCCTCGCGCCCCTCGCGAGCGAGCCCAGGGAAAAAGAAAGGCGTGACGGAGCGCTCAGCGGCGTTCTCACGATGGCCACTGCTGGCGCTGGCCGTCGGCGCCGCCCTCGCGGTCTGCTGCGCGGCGCTGGCGTTAGGCGCCGGTGAGGGCGCAGGCGCGGGCGGAGGCGATGGTGTGGCCAGCGCGCAGATCCCCGTCTCTGCTGATGCGGCCTTCAAGCGTCTCGTGGACTCGCCGTCGATGCTGAGGTCAGAATATGTAGTAGTCCGCATTCCCATATGTTCAATGGTCGCTGTCGTCCTGTCTAGAGGTCGTCCTCTAGACAGGTTTGGGCGCCCGAGTTATCCGGGGTAACTCGGGTCCGGGGTAACTCGGGCTCGGATTCCCGAAAAACGAACCCGAGTTAGCCCTGACCCGAGTTACCCCTGATGATTCGGGGCTCTGGACGCCCGAGTTATCCGGGGTAACTCGGGTCCGGGGTAACTCGGGTTTGGATTCCCGAAAAACGAACCCGAGTTATCCCTGACCCGAGTTATCCCTGATGATTCGGGGCTCTGACTAGAGGTCGTCCTCTAGACAGGTCGTCCTGTAGTAGTCCGCGGTCCCATATGTTCAATGGTCGCGCCCTCCGTCGGACGAGTCCTCGGCGTCAAACGTGCCTCCGAGATGCCCCACGGAGGTCAGGCGCTCGCAGTCGATGCGCGGTTCGGCGAAGAAGGCGCGGCGCAGCGTCTTGGACGGGATGCAAGGGCTCCTAAGTTCGCGCTTCGCGCTGCGCGAAGCGCGAATAACTTCGCGCTCTCGCGCCGCCCTCCCAAAGGGAGAATAGGAGGACGAGGAGGAGGGGGGAGAAGGAACGAGGACCGCGAAGCGCGAAGCGCGAATAACTTCGCGCCCTCGCGGGAGCCCTTGGGGATGCCGCGCGCGATCCCCTCCTTAGTCTCGCTGGGGCTGAACTCCCCCTGGCGTAGAGCATGGCGACGCGAGTCCAAGTCCCTTTCGATTGCGGCGGCCGGGGCGCGGGCCTCGTCGACGCCGGCGTCGCGAAGCTGGGCGCAAGAGTCGATGGCTTCCTGTTCGCGGCCCCGCGCGTGGCGCGACGTAGAACTTCAGGATGTCGTCGACGAAGACTTGGCGGCTGAGGTCCTGGACGGGTCCGTCAGGGCCCCACATCGGCGCGCACGACTGGGGCATGATGCTGGGGCGCCCGCGAGTCGGGTTCGTTGGGGCAGCCCACGAGTCCGCCGCGGCCATTCCGCATGGCCAAAGTGCCGTCGCCAGCGTCGACAATCGCCTGGGGCTCGGCGCGTCGTTGCAGTATCTGTTGGCGGACGCCGTCGCGGAAGGTGGGAATGACGTGCTCGTTGATGGCGTCGCAGCGAGTTCATCCAAAGGCGTCGCGGCCGTCGTGAGAGCGAACTGCGAAGGCCATCTTCGCGCGTCGGAGCTTGCCGGCAACCGATCTGGCGACGGGCGCGCCGAATTCGCGTCGTCGATGCGGGGCGCCTCCACATGCATAAACGGGTGGTCGCGCTGGAAATCTTCGCTCTCGCAGGGGACGTTAGAAACGGCGCCAGAACGCGCCGAAGCAGAGGATCCAGTGCAAGCCCGTTGGGCCGCTGGGAATCTCGCCTCTGTCCAGTTGGAGGCTCCGGGAGGCGCGCGCCTGCGTCGGCGCGCGGTTGCGTTGTCGGGCGCGGGCGAGACGCGCAGGTAAACGCGATCGTCCCAGTCTATGTTCCCGCGGTAGCTGGAGCTTCCTCTGGGAGGGGTTCGCCTCGCCGTCGTGGGCGTCGATCGCTCCCGAGCCTCCTCGCGGTCGTCCTGGGCGTCTGAGGGTCGCAGGGTGGAGTGCCATCAGTGTTGTTTCTGCTGGGGCCGATTCAGGCGAGGTGAATTCCCTTCTCTTGGCTGCACCCAAGAGCCTGGTGACTGTGGCAAGTTCCTCGGGCGCTTCTATCGCGAAATTCAGCTGGAACTCTGGCGGCCCGCTCGAGAAACCATAAAACCTCTCGAGGCACCGCTGGCGCGCTCGAGAAACTATGATATCCCCGCGGTGGCGCGGCTGGTGCCAGCGAGTAGTCCTCGGGCTGCGACTCATGAACATAGTGTTCCTCCTCGGCATCCTGCTGTAACGTCGCGTCGAAATCGACTTCCTGGCAGCCCGCGGCGTCGTGGAGTGCTGGTGGGAGATGGGTGGCTGGTGTCGAGGCTGCGGGCGCGTCGTCGTCGGCTGCAGGGTGGTGGGTGTCGTCGTTGGGCGTGGTGGTGCTGAGTCGTTGTGGTCGTGGTGGCACGGTGTTGGCGTTAGATGTCGCGTCGTCGGCGTCATCGTCGGTGTCGGAGTGGTGCCGAGTGGTGTCGGGCGCGGTGGCGCGAGGTCGTCTCGTGTCGGGAGCGCAATTGCAGCTGGCGCTGCAAGTGGTCCTCCTCCGGAGCCCGGGCGTTGAAGGAACTGCTGCCGCTGGTCCATGCTGGGGCGTGATCTCGGGGGAATGCCGTAGAAGCGCTTGCGGGCTCGAATTTTATCTCGGAGCATGGTCTTGGTGACGCGGTGGCATTCGGCTAGTCGTCGCTCTCTCCACGCCTGCCATAAGTCGTCGCACTGCATATCCTGGTGCTTGTGGTTCGTGTCCTTCATGTGGCGGCATAGTCTTTTGCTGTGGTCGTAGATGGTCTGGCCCAGAACCTGGGGCGTCTGTTCGTGGGCGTCGTGGTCTTCCTTGTCGTGTCGCTGTTGCTGTAGTTGCGCCCGCTACCGAAGAAGCTGAAGTTTCTCTTCGCGTGCTTCTCGGTGCCATTGGGGTCGTCGCCTTGTGGATGGTAAGTGCTCGAGGACCGCGTCGCGGGCGCACTGCATGGTGAGGCCCCAGTGGTACGTGACGTCGTCGCGCTCAAGGTACTCGTCCAGCAAGTCGCCGTGGGTGCTCACCTGGCTCTCTATAGGCTGTCCAAAAACTCGATGCGATTGTAGCCCGCCTTGGGGCCCAGCGCGGAGGCGTCGCGGTCCAGGGTCTGGTAGGCCTTCCCCTCCGTGTGGCAGGCGGGCGGTGCCGCTAGATTGAAGATCGACGACTTGTGGTCCTTGAATCGCCTGGGGGTCTGCAAGGCGTGGGCGGCGTGGTTCCAGACGCGGCGCTGCAAGATATGGGAGACTAAGCTCGGGGGGATGCTGATGCATCCGGTGGCTGAGGGGTGGCGTCCGTCGTGGGTGGGGCCCGTGTCGTAGTGCGTGCTGGCGGTGGCCACGTGCGTGGTCACGAAGTCGTGGTGGTCGAGCTTGCCTGCTTCGCCTTCCTGGCCTGTGGGGGGGGGGGCCCACCGTTTCGTCGCTATCGGGGCCCAGGACGGAGTGGTACCGTTTCGTCGCTATCGGGGGCCGGGGCGGAGCGGTCGTTGAGGCCCATCATCACGATGGAGGTGAAGAGCGATGGAGCGGCTAGGAGCTCCATTCTTCCTATTGAACTAGGGCTCCCAACTTCGCGCTTCGCGCTGCGCGAAGAGCGAAGCGCGAATAACTTCGCGCTCTCGCGCCGCCCTCCCAAAGGGAGAAAAGGAGGACGAGGAGGAGGGGGAGAAGGAACGAGGACCGCGAAGCGCGAATAACTTCGCGCCCTCGAGGGAGCCCTTGTTGAACCACCCTCGTCATAGCGACTCGCCCCTGAAGCAGTTTTCCTCGGCACCATGGTGCTGGAGGCGAGTCGGCCGTGATGGTTGTCAGCTTGATGATGTCGATAATGCTGCTTCCGCCTCGTCCTTGGAATTCTGGTGGTGGTGCTGTGATGTCTTTGATGCGCGTCTCTTTGAATCTGCTGCTGAGGGGGATGGAGCAGCCCGCAGAGTTGTTCACATGCATGCTGCGTCGCCCATATCCGAAATGAATAGCCAAATGGTGCTCGTAGAGCTGCGTGTGATGCGGGCTGTGCGGGTGCTTCGGGATCGTCGTAATAGGGCACCCGACGATGTGGATCTTGCGCAGCTGGGCGCTGACCTCCTCGCCACGGGTGCCTGAGAGGCTACGTAAACGGACAGGAACGTGGCTCGAGCGGCAGTCGTCGCGCGCCCGAGGGAGCTCGTGTGCGCGGCGCCCTTTATGCTCGGGCAGACATCTCGTGCCTGTCTGGTGCCTACACCAACCCCGCGGAAACCGCTAGAGCCAGGAGGGGTTTGATCCTCCTCATTCTGCTACTCCTGATGCAGGCCTGCCTCCTCCTTCTCCTCCTGATTCTCCTCGACCTCCTCCTCCACATCCTCCTCCTCCTCCTCCTCCTCCTCCTCCTCCTCACATTCCCATCGCTCCTCCTCGCCGTCCTCCTGAGGCGGGGGCAATCGCGTTCTTCACCAGGGTCTTCGTGCGCACCAGCTCATTGCTGCTCGCGTTGTAGACGACGTCCAGGACGCGCACCTGGAGGAGAAGGCCCTCCCAGCGCCAGGTAGTCCCCCCTATCTTCGTCTTCTGCCGCCTCTTCCTCTTTCTCCGGAGCTCGAGGAACAAAAAACTGCATAAACATAGTACGGACCTGGGAATATCGAAGTTCACGCGTCTTTCATCTTGGAGAGAACAACGGACTGCTCCCAACTGGCATGTCTGTGTGCGAACTGAGCTAACGGAGCCCTGGGCGGCCTTCTTGGCTTATCCTGGATTCTCACCCCGTCACTTCATCCCGTGTCAACCGTATCCTGTCTCTTTTCCCCTGTATCCCTCCCGATGCCTATGCCGACTCTTCCCTTACCTTGCCCGGTCAGTATCAGGTACGAGGTGGAAAAACACTGGGAGGCCTGCAACTTGGCATCAACAGCAACACAGGGTGCTGTCTCCACTGGGGGAAGATGATGTTAGATGTTTTCTCGTGGTAACCGTGCGGCCACAGAAGGAGCCCCGAGTGTTTCCGACATCGCCGAGATCGGGATCATATTCCCTCGGTGGTCGTAACCGCCGATAGAAGTGTTGGTGCAAACCCCTAGGCCACCGAATACCTGGAACACCTAATCCGCCGACCCTGTTGGCGTGTGTGAGGGGCTTGTCCGTTCAAGTCGTCATCTCCGTCATTCGTTGGTCGTCGTCTCTGTCGTCCCCTTCCCATGCCTCCCCCTTCGCCTGGGCTCGTCGAAGCTCACCCCTTTTCCAGGGACCTCCTCAGCGCGCCAACCAAAGCGCAAGTTGAGCAACGTCGTAATTGAGTCGAAGGGAAGCCCCTTCCCGTCGACCCCTTCCCCGCCGGCGGTGGGGTCCCGGGGGGGGGTCAGACGCCCCACCGGGGAGTCCCAAAGCCCCAAACAGCTCCAAGACGCGCCAAGAGGGCCCCAACAGGCCCCAAAGACAGTCCAAGATCCCCGAATCGCCGAACGATCTGTCCAAGACGCCTTGACGGCCTCCAGACGGCCCAAGAGGCCTGCAAAGCGCCCCAAGAGGCCTCCAGGAGCTTTCCCACAAGAGCCCCAAGAGGCAAAATTCATGGATTTCCCATACGTGAGTACAGATTTTGGCGTTCTTGCCTCTTCCGCTTCCCGACGCGTCAAGACGGCCCAAGAGGCCCCCAAGTTCGCCCCGAGACGGCCCAAGAGGCCCCCAAGAGGGTCACCTTACGTCCGAAGAGGGCCCCGAGACGGCCCAAGACGCCTCCAAGACGGCCCAAGAGGCCCCCAAAATTGCCCCAAGACAGCCCAGGAGAGCCCCAAATTGCCCAGGAGGCCTCCAAGAGTGCCTCGAGACGGCGCAAGAGAAGCCCAGGACGGCCCAAGACGGCCTCAAGAGAGCCCCAGGCTGTCGTCCCAAGAAAGGCCCTGGCCTCCTCCTCCTCCTCCTACTCCTCCTCCTCCTCCTCCTCCTTCTCCTCCTCTTCCTCCTCCTCCTCCTCCTCCTCCTCCTCCTCCTCCTCCTCCTCCTCCTCCTCCCCCCCCTCTGCTCCCCCACCTCCTGCTCTCCTCCGCCTCCTTCTCCTCATCTTGCTTCTCCTCCACATCCTTCTCCCCCCTCCTCCTCCCTCATCCACCTCCCCCACCCTTCCTCCACCTCCCACTCATCCTCCTCCCCCTGCCCCCCCTCGTTGTCGTCTTCGTCGTTCTCAGGGTCGGCGGCACTGGCCGTAAGGCCTTCGCAATAAGACAAATCTGCTTAACAATTAACTATCGGAGGTCCACGCGGATTTCTTTTGGATCGGCACTGGACATCCGTCCTCCGTGGCGAGCGGGGTACCTGAAAACGTAGGTTGTGTTGTGTCTTCTTCGAAACTTGGGTGGCTCTGGAACCGCCATACGTTGCCAGCCCCACCTCTGGAACAGAAGCTCGATACCCGCCGCCCTTTTCTTTTGCTAGACCACGGGCACGCCCGCCACACCCTCTTGAGGGGGCCCGGGGGTTCACATGGGGAGGACCCTTCCGAATGCCGAAAATCTCCTCCTCGTCTTCGTGCTCCTCCCGATCCGGGTGCGCCGAAGGGGGGAAGCCAGGAAGAAGGAGGTCAGCGCATCATGGTCATGGCCCGAAGCATGTGCGCGGATGAGGAGGAAGAGGAAGAGGAGGAGGAGGAGGAGGAGGAGGAGGAGGATGAGGAGGAGGAGGAGGAGGGGGAGGAGGAGGGGGAGGAGGATGGGGGAGGAGGAGGAGGAGGAGGGCAGGAGGGAGGAGAAGAGGAGGAGGAAGACGAGGAGGAGGAGGAGGAGAGGAGAAGGCGGGGAGGGGGAGGGGGAGGGGAAGAGGGCGGAGGAGGAGGAGGAAAACGAGGAGGAGGAGGAGGAGGAGGAGGAGGAGGAGGTGGTCCAGGAAGAAGGGGGTCAGCGCATCGTGGTCCTGGCCCGAGGCACGTGCGCGGAGGAGGGGGGGGCAGGGGAAGTGCCGACAAAAAAACAAGGAGGCATGCCATCTGGGAGATCTCCTTACCATGGCCATTCTATCCCACTCCCCTGGTCCACACCCCCCTTCTTGGACCCCGCCCCCGACCAATGTAGAATGCCAATCGGACAACAAGCAATTGCGAGAAACCTGAAAAAAACTTAGCCGCCAGGCACACCCCTCGCGGGGGAATCAATGTTGGTGATGATGATGCTGATGCTGATGCGGATGCTGGTGCGGACGCTGCTGATGCTGCTGATGATGCCGATGATGATGATGCTGATGATGATGATGATGATGATGCTGATGATGATGATGATGATGTGATGATGATGATGATGATGATGATGGTGATGATGATGATGATGATGATATGATGATGATGATGCAGATGATGAAAATGATGATGATGATGATGATGATGATGATGATGATGATGATGATGAACATGATGATGATGATGCTGATGCTGATGATGATGATGGTGGTAATGGTAATGATGCTGTTAATGGTGATGGTACTGGTGGTGGCGGTGGTGGTGACGATGATGATGTTGTTGATGATGACGATGACGATATGGTAACGAAGTTGATGCTGCTGCTGATGATGATGGTGATGATGGTGATGGTGATGATGATGATGATGCTGATGATGATGACGATAATGGTGACGATGACGATGACGATGACGGCGACGACAGTGGTGGTGATGATGACGATGACGTTGACGTTGACGATGACGATGACGATGACGATGATGATGATGATGATGATGATGATGATGATGATGATGAGGAGGAGGAGGAGGAGGAGGAGGAGGAGGAGGAGGAGGAGGAGGATTGCTAACCCCAACGACCTTCTTGGTGCTGTTTTCGGTGCCCCACGCGAAGTTGCCGCTGTCCAGGCGGAGAGCGCGGTACTCACGTTGGCGGGCCGAGCGCAGGCCAGAGGAGCATCCTTCTCCTCCGCCTCCTTCGCCATGAAAGGTAATTCGGGTTTCAGATCCAGAGGGAGACAAATCCCGAGTTCGTTCACCGACTTCGGGATCCTGGGGGCCCTCCCCAAGCCCAGGGACGATCAACAGACGGCTCAGGATGAAAAGCTGGTCCCGGAGAAGGCCATGGGCTACAGGACCCGCTTCCCTCAGGACCCGTCTCCTCCTCCTCCTCTGGCCCTGCACTGCTCCTCCCTTCCCAATCCTGATGTCATGCTTCTCCCTCCTCCCCCTGCCTATCGCATCCACTCCTCCTCCGCTCCTCCGCCTCCTCCTCCTCCTCCGCCTTCTCCTTCTTTACCTTTCGCGTTTTCTCTCCCCCCCCCCTTTGGGCTTGCTTCCGGACACCAGCGGGGTCTCCTCCCTTACTGCTGATGGCCCGTCTCTATCCTCTCCTCCCTTCTCCCGAGGGGGGCGAAGGAGCAGGAGAGGGTGAGGAGAAGGAAGAAGGACGAGGAGGTAAAGAAGGAACGATTGAGGCAGAGTGAGAGGGGGAAGGGGGGGGGAGGAGAGCAAATGACAGGGAGGAGAAAGTATCAGGAGAAAGAGGGGCGGAGAGAACTGGGACAGGGGGGACGGAGGAGAGAAGGCGAAGGAGAAGCGTCCAGAGGAGGATCAGGAGGAGGAGGAGCAAGAGCAGGCATGAGGGCACCAAGGTGCGAGGATACGGAGGAGTGGGCCTTGCCGACCTGACAACAACGCACGCCTGCCCACCTGCGTTCGACGCGCGCACCCGTGACACGCGGCGCGCAAGGGCGGCCGGTCGTGCCGCCTGCGCGGGGGTGCCCAGTCGCAGCCGTCCGCCTCGATAAGGCGGGATCTGGACTCGGCATGTGCGCCGTGCTCCGCTGCTCCTCCTCCCTCCTCCCCCTCCCCCTCCTCCCCCTCCTCCTCCTCCTCCTCCTCCTCCTCCTCCTCTCTCTGCTCCTCCTCCTCCTCCCTCCTCCTCCTCCTCCTCCTCCTCCTCCTCCTCCTCCTCCTCCTCCTCCTCCCCCTCCCCCTCCCCCTCCCCCTCCCCCTCCCCCTCCCCCTCCCCCCCTCCTCCTCCTCCTCCTCCTCCTCCTCTCCTCCTCCTCCCTCGTCCTCTTCCTCGTCCTCCTCCTCGTCCTCCTCCTCGTCCTCCTCCTCGCCTCCTCCTCGTCCCCTCCTCGTCCTCCTCCTCGTCCTCCTCCTCGTCTCCTCCTTTTCCTCCTCCTCCTCCTCCTCATCCTCCTCCTCCTCATCCTCCTCCTCCGCCTCCTCCTCCCTCTCCTCCTCTCTTTCTCTTACTCCAAATTCTCCTCCTCCCCCCGCACTGCACTGCACATCTCCATGGAGTCCTCGCAGATCCTCGCCACCCAAGCCTGGGATTCGGGGCTCGCCTTCAGCTGGCCACTTGAAATCTGCTACTGGGCACCGTCGCGTGACCCGCGCCCACACGCGGACAAGACGCAATCGGTGCGCCCAATGCCCGCGGGAGGCCTCAACCTTCACCCCCCCATCAAGACCGCCTGCCCAGCCAGGTGGCCTCAACCTCCTACTCCTCCTCCTTCTCCTCCTCCTCCTCCTCCTCCTCCTCCCTCCTCCTCCTGCTCGTGCTACTGCACCTCCTCCTCCTCCTCCTCCTCTTCCTCCTCCTCCTCCTCCTCCTCGTCCTCCTCCTCGTCTTCCTCCTCGTCTTCCTCCTCCTCCTCCTCCTCCTCCTCCTCCTCCTCCTCCTCCTCCTCCTCCTCCCCCTACCCTCGTGACACGCGGACGTCAGGGGCGCATCGGAGACGGTGCCCAAGCAAGACGCGTCCGTGCTCCCGGCTGGCTGACATCACTGCGCGCCTCCAGCCGCCGTGCACGATACACTGCGCCAAATCCAGCAAAACAACGAGCTCGCCATCGCGCGGACGTCCATTCCCCGTACACTTTTCCAGTTCGGGCGTTTTTCTCGCAAGATGACTTAATGTGCTCCACAATGGTTCTCGCCGAGGGAGAAGTGCACGCGTCCGAGCGATGCCAAGCGAGGGATGAGCGGTTCAAGGTGAGGACTGTGGCCTCGCAAGCAGAGGCGGCCCGAAGGGATGGCAGCCTCCGAGCAAAGGGCGCGGCGCTGGAACGATGCGAGGAGCCTGGGCGTGCGTCAGAAAACACACGTCGTCCGCCCGTGAAGGTGAATCCTTGCTACGTGTGACTATCGACTCCGTGTTACCCCACCGCTCCTGGGCCGTCTTCGGCGGTCGTCGGACGGTTTCAGGCGGTAGTCGGCGGTTTTCTGACGGTCGTGGGCTGTTTCCGGCGTTGATTGGCGGGTTTCTAGCGGTCTTGAGCGCGGAAGCTCGATGGTTGCGATCAACAAGGGGTCCATGTCCATGGTCGAATACTCAATTCTTGGGCCCGACCCATACGGCGCGAGACGCCCAGTGAGGGGAAGCCGCACTTCAGATCGTGGCCGTCGGAATGCCTCATTCTGACCGCGGGTCTGCCTGACCTCTCCTCGTGCACCTAGGCGCTTTTAAGGAAAAAAGAGGGTCGTTGCTTGTGCTGCATTCCTTCTGGTTGTGCCTCGACTGTATGCCGCCCGACGTCATGATTTGTTTTTAAAGTCAACCCCCAGATGTCTCGACCCACTCCCCAGGACCAATGTTTCATCCCGAGTCGTTTTTTGACGGTCCCGAGGCTTTGTCAGCGTGATTTCGATCGGACCTCCAAACAATGATGTTTATGCCATCCTTTGATCCTCGACTTGGCGGCGGTCGGCGGCAAGCGAGGGGGGAGGTGAGATGGAGGAGGCCTTCTGAGGAGGCGGCAGGTCTTCTCTCAGAGTCCCTCGCGCCTTCTGAGAGTGTTCCGCATCATCGGGGAAGGCTCAGAAATTGTTTCAGAGGGCCTGAGGACATCTGAGCCTCCTGAAGAGGCCCGCCCCTTCTCACTTCCCTGGCCGCCAAGTCGAGGGACAAACAATGGCACAAACTTAAGCGTTTGAAGGTCCGCCCGAAATCACCCTTACAAAGCCTCGGGACCGTCAAAGAACGACTCGTGACGAAAAACTTGCCCTGGGGAATGGGTCGAGACATCTGGGGGTCGCCCTTATGAACAAATCAGGACGTTGGGCGGCACACAGTCGAGGTACAACCAGAAGGAACGCAACACTAACAATGATAGAAGAAGAAACAACCACATAAACTGTGGCGCTCCGGGCGGATTTCTTGGATCCGCGCCGACTTCCTGGATCCGCGCGGATGTCTTGCATCCGCGCTGGAAAGTTTATGTTTATGTGGTTTCTCCTTCTTCGACATGACGCCCTCGTTTGGCCGCAGAAGCGCCTCGGTGCACGAGGAAGGCTAGAGGGCACGAGGAGGCTCGCTGACGAGATGTGCCTCCATGGGTTAGGTCGGGCATGTCCCCCCACAGGGGGATCTGGACGAAACATTATAAACATTCGAAAGGAAAGCCCCCCAAGTAGTCAAACAAAATATTCAAAAAAACATCCCCTCGTGAAGAGGGACAGGCCCGACTTCAGCCTCGGGGCACGAGGAGGCGAGATGTGCCTCCATGGCTTAGGTCGGGCATGTCCCCCCACAGGGGGATCTTGGACGAAACATTGTAAACATACGGAAGGAAAGCCCCCCAAGTAGTCAAACAAAATATTCAAAAAAACATCCCCTCGTGAAGAGGGACAGGCCCGACTTCAGCCTCGGGGCACGAGGAGGCGAGATGTGCCTCCATGGGTTAGGTCGGGCATGTCCCCCCACAGGGGGATCTTGGACGAAACATTATAAACCGAGGGCTCCCAGCTTCGCGCTTCGCGCTGCGCGAAGCGCGAATAACTTCGCGCTCTCGCGCCGCCCTCCCAAAGGGAGAATAGGAGGACGAGGAGGAGGGGGAGAAGGAACGAGGACCGCGAAGCGCGAAGCGCGAATGACTTCGCGCCCTCGAGGGAGCCCTTGATAAACATACGGAAGGAAAGCCCCCCAAGTAGTCAAACAAAATATTCAAAAAAACATCCCCTCGTGCAGAGGGACAGGCCCGACTTAAGCCTCGGGGCACGCGGAGGCTCGCTGACGAGATGTGCCTCCAGGGGGCTGGGTCGGGCACGTCCCCCCACAGGGGGATCTTGGACGAAACATTAAACACACACGCAAAGAAAGCCCCCCAAATAGTCAAAAAATCATCCTCTCCTGAAGAGGGACAGGCCCGACCTCAGCCTCGGGGCACGAGGAGGCTCGCTGTCGAGATGTGCCTCCATGGGTTAGGTCGGGCACGTCCCCCCACAGGGGGACTTGGACGAAACATTATACACATTCGAAAGGAAAGCCCCCCGAATAGTCAAAAAACACGCCCCCTCCTGAAGAGGGACAGGCCCGACCTCAGCCTCGGGGCACGAGGAGGCTCGCTGTCGAGATGTGCCTCCAGGGGGCCGCGGGCTGGGCCAAGAGCGGGGGCCACCCCTGCGCTCCCACAGGGGTAAAGGGAAATTAGGACACACAAATAAATACACACACATAAAAATATTCCCCATATTTTCCTATATTTTCTGTGTTTTTGTCGTCCCCACCACTTCCCATATTTTCCCATATTTTCTGGGAAATCGACGATTAATTGTGTCTGTGTGTTTTTTCCCCTCCTGAATAGAGGCCTCCTGGACGGGGTCCAAGCAGATGGGGTCGGAGGATCGCGCCGCATCGCCAGTGCGTCGCCAGTGTATCGGCGATGCATCGGCGAGGCATCGGCGATGCATCGGCGACGTCGGCGTGGAGGAGATCGGACCCTCATCGAGCCGCATCGCCGATACATCGGCGATGCGGCGCGATCCTCCGACCCCATCTACTCCGACCCCATCTGGGGGGCCTAGACCCGAGGCCTCCGTCGGGGACGCACTGACCCGGGCCAGTGCAAACCCGGGTCAGTCGGCCTCTGCAGGATCCTGCGAGATCCTGCCGGATCCTGCGCGCTAGCCCGGGTCAAAGCAGCCCTGGCTCTGCAGGACCCTGCAAGATCCCGCGCTCTGGCTGACCTCTGTTTGCTTTGGCTCCCGTCTCGAGGCTCCCGACTCCAGAGGCCTCCCGATCCTCGGCCGTCGGTCCCAGTGATGGCCCCCACGAGACCCGAAGAGGACCCCAAGGTGCCCAGACGAGGCCCCACGACAGCCCCCCGGAGGCTTCCAAACTGCCTCCAGGAGGCCCCCGAGAGGCCTCGACGAGATCCCAACGAATATCCACGAGCCTCAGATCCATTACCCAGGCACGGTGGCGGGATGGACCGAGGGCCATGAGAATCCGCCGCCCCCTGCTTGCAGGGGTGCACGGCGTGCTGGATGTTTCAGGTTTTGGTTTTGGTTCTTTTTCCAAAAGAACTCCCCAGTGGGCTCCGGCAGAACCCGCCGGCCACCCGGAAGGCCCCCAAACGTGCTCAACGACCGGAACAAATCCTCCAAAAAACGGCCGTTTCGCTCGGGACATCCTCAACAAATCGCGAAGATGGCCCAAGATGGCCTCCAAGTCCGCCCGAGATGGTCCAAGACGGCCTCCAAAACGGCCCAAGAGAGTCCAAGACGGCCCAAGACGGCCCAAGAGGCCCCCCAGAGGCCTCCCAGACGGCCCAAGAGGCCTCCAAGAGGTCCTCCAGGAGAGTCCGAAGAGGCCAAAATCATTGATTTTTCCTTGGTTTTTGAAGGATTCTGGCATTTGCGCCTTTTCGGCTCTCCGACGGCTCGAGACGGCCCAAGAAGCCCCCAAGATCGCCCAAGAGGCCCCCAAGAGAGCCCCATGATGGCCCAAGTGGCCTCCAAGATGGCCCCTAGAGGGCCCCAAGAGGGCCCAAGAGGCCTCCAACACGCCCAAGATGGCCTCCCAGACGCCCAAGATGGCCTCCAAGACGGCCCTGGAGCATTCCAAGCGGGCCCCAAGTCGGCCCATAGAGGCCCCCCAAACGGCTTCCGACGGCTTCAGACGTGCCAGGAACCCACCAAGATGGCCGAAGTTGGCTCGAAGCTGGCCCGAGACGGCCCAAAAAGCACCAAAGATCGCCCAAAGCTTGCCCAAGAGGCCTCCAAGACGGCCAAGATGACCTTCAAGATGCCCACGTGTTCCCCGAAGGCTTTCCAAACCGATTCGGGGAACACGTGGTCCGATAGCTTGGCAGGTCTGGCCTCAACGTTCGGCCACATAGGCGCTTCCACAAAGGCAGGGGGCGGCGGTGATCCGCCGTAGGCGTCTTCGATAACATCCCAAAGACTCTGCTTGCTTCTCTACATCTGAGGCCTCTTGGGGGCCTCGTTCTCTAGGGCCCCCAGGCCATCAGCAGAACTGATCTGGGGCGGAGAGCTGCCCCCCGGGAAAGGGGTCAGGACTGTGGGGTCGCAGAATGAAAGATCACATTGTCGGATGCCTGGGATCGAAGACGGCGACTGTGGCGACGCCGAGGCTGGAGCGGGCGCTCCTTCATGTTGCCGCCGCGGCCGCGCACTGGGCGCACGCGCTTGGAGCCCAACTTGCAGTGGGCCCACGGCCGGCCCATCTCGTACTTGCGCTTCTTCTGGTGGATGTTCCTGGCGGGACAAGCCAGCCAACCTCCTGTTGCTGCGTCGCGTCCTCCTCCTCTTCCTCCTCCTCCTCCTCCTCCTCCTCCTCCTCCTCCTCCTCCTCCTCCTCCTCCTCCCCCTCCTCCTCTAGGGCAACTCTGTCTTCGCGCTTCGCGCTCCGCGAAGCGTGACGATCTTCGCACTTTCGCGCCGCCCCCCTTCCCCCCGGGAACAGGATGAAGGACTCGCGCCTCGCTCTGTAATCGCCAAGACCGCGAAGCGCACGACTACCTTTGCACCTTCATGGTGGCCCTAGCCTCCTCCTCCTGCTCCTTCTCCTCCCCGCTTCTCCTCGACCACCACCTACACCTGCACCTCATCAGCCTCCTCCTCCTCCTCCTCCTCCTCCTCCTCCTCCTCCTCCCTCCTGTTCCTGCTCCCTCTCGTGGTTCCTCCACCTCATCGTGCCTCCTCCTCCGGCTCCTCCCTCCGCTGCTCCCGCTGCGACTGCCGCTGCTGGTCGTCAACCTTCCGATGCTCCGCAACAACCACCTTCCTCACCCCATCTCCGTTCTCCTCTCTTCGTCTTCTTGCTCCTCCCTGCTCTTTCATCACACCTCCTCCGCCCTCCCCTCCTTCACCTGCGATGCCTCGTTTTCTTCCTTCTCCCCCTTCTTCCCCTCCTAAAAAATCACCACCACCACCACCTCATCCCTCATTGATCCACCTGCCCCTGCTCCACGGCGCCTCGTTCCAACCCCTTTCCCCCCCTCCTCCTCCTCCTCCTCCTCCTCCTCCTCCTCCTCCTCCTCCTCCTCCTCCTCCTCCTCCCTCCCTCCTCCCTTCCCCTCCTTCCTCCTCCTCCTCCCTCTCCTCCTCCTCCTCCTGTTTTTCTCTCCTCCTCTCCTCCTCCTCCTGCTCCTCCTCCTGCTCGTGCTACTGCACCTCCTCCTCCTCCTCCTCCTCCTCCTCCTCCTCCTCCTCCTCCTCCTCCTCCCTCCTCCTCCTCCTCCTCCTCTCCTCTCCTCCTCCTCCTCCTCCTCCTTATCCTCCTCTTACTCCTGCTCATCCCGCTCCTCCCGCTCCTCCTCATCCTCATCCTCATCATCACGTTCTCCTTATATTATTATTATTATCATTAGTATTATTATTATTAGTATTATTATTTTTATTTTTAATTATTATTATTACTAATATTCGTAGTATTATGATTATTTGTATTACTAGTATTAGTCATATTATTCGTATTACTATTATTACTATTCGTATCATTATGGTTATGAATATTATTATTTCTCCTCCTCCTCCTCCTCCTCCTCCTCCTCTGCGCTCTGCGCTTCCAAGTGATGCATCCCGCGACACAAAATGCCCGCACGCATATACAACACTCACCTGCGCAGGGGCACCGGAACCTCCACCCCCCCCCTTCGGTGAGGACGGATTCTTGCCCTGCTTCAACAGGCGTAGGGCTCGAGCCCTCCAGACTCCTTCGGCGCGGTCCGTGCACCCAGCACCGAGGTCTTTGACCTGGTGCTGGGCGTACACACCACACGCCGAACACCAGATTACAGGCCCATTGGCCCAGAGACGGTGGGCGGGGTGGGCTTTGGCCAGGACCGCGGGGACACCAGGGCAGGGCAGCTGCACCAGCCGAGAGCGCGACACCCGCCCGATCCCACAGACACCACACCCCCACCCACCTGGAACCTGTGATACTTTGTGACCCTTACCATCTGGAATTAGTTCAAGCAGGGGGCCTCTGAATTCAAACGAGTCCGCCGCCGCCTACGTTCCTTGATGGCCTCTACGTCTGGGTACCCTAACTTGTGCACATACTTCAACACATCAGTCAAGTACCTGGCCAGGAGACTCACCTGATCACGATGGAACCTGATCCTGTCTCGAACGTGGAAGTTCATCGGGTGCGCCTTGGCACCCTTCTTGGCCCACTCGTCGGCGAGCCTGTCCCCGTGAAAAAAGTGAGGCGGTACTCCATGTTTGGCTGCCGCTCGCCGCGACTGGTGCGCAGCGATCTTCTCAACCTGGATATCTTCCTTCCCGACATCCTCAACTCTCTTCCATATATGCATCCACTCTTCAGCGTACGCCTTATTCGGGTGAGTCGTGCTAACCGCCTCTGCCTCCCACCCATCTACGATCGTCGGCCCCATCAACATCAGGGTCATGTAAAACGCGTGCAATTTTGAACTGGGCACATCTTGAACTGGAAGCGGCGACGGTCCATACGCTATCGCTTCTACTTCCAGCGCATGAGATACTGAAGTTACAGTCCATCCTGCTCTGACAAGCCACCTGCAGTCGTTATCATACCCCGACCCATCAATACAAACATACGGCCCCAGGGTTCCATAACGATGGGGAGGATGGGCCCACTTAAACTCAGCTCCATGCAGTATCTTCGGGATCTCGCTGCGGTCGTTGCGCCCCCTCATCCTATTTCCTCCTCGTCCACGGCCTCCCCCCTCTGGGCGAACACACAAATATCGATGCGGCTACTCCCCTGGACCTCTCCGAGGGTGTGTTCTGACCAGAATTCTAAGGCGAATCCAGCCGTGGCGACGAGGGCCCATCAGGAGGACCGTTCCCCCTCTGAGCCTCCCCCCGAAGGCCAGCACCGAGGTCCTGCGGCCGCCCGTCTTGCGGTGCTTGTGGCGGGAGTCGCGCGAGATGCCCATGGCTCAGACGGCCGGGCACGGCGGCGGGGTACGGCGGTGCGCGTGCCTGGGGGGCGGCCGACGAGGGCCGAGAGGGCTGCTGCCTGCGGCGGGCTTCCTCGCGCGCGGAGGGGCGAGGGAGGGCAGGGACCTGACCGCCCTGAAGGCGGGCGTCTGGCGCGGGTGGGTTGGGAGGATAGGGAGGGAGGAGGCATGAGGCAGGAGGGAGGAGGCTTGAGGCAGGAGGGAGGAGGAGGAGAAGAAGGGGGGGGAGGAGGAGGAGGAGGAGGAGGAGGAGGAGGAGGAGGAGGAGGAGGAGGAGGAGGAGGAGGAGGAGGAGGAGGAGAAGAGGAAGACGCGGACGTGGGAGGAGAGGGTGGAGGGAGGAGCAGGGGAAGGAGCAGTAGAAGAGATGGATGGACGAGGCGAGGGGTGGAAGTGGGAGCGGCGTGGAAAGGAGGAGGCAGGAAGGCGGCGGGTGCGGCAGGTCCGTGCCGGGACGACTGGACCGCTGGCTTCTGGCACCACGTCGACCGTCCCACCTAGAGCGATCGCGGCTCTCCAGGTTACGCTTCAGGCCTTTAGGGCCCAGACCCTAAGCCCTAGAGGGGAGGTGGGGGGAGACTCGCGTACAATACGGGCGCGGCCCCAAGAAACCCTCGCAAGAAACCCAACCCTGAGAACCCGTGCGCGAGGTGCGCCTGAGGGGAAACCTGGAGCACCCTGAACGCAGCAGCTCCTTCAACGGCTGCGGGAAGTCACCGCGCAGCGCGAGGAGCGAAGAAACCCAGGATACCCGGACGAAAAGCATATGGCTTCTTTATGCGCGCCCCCACTGTGCCCGCCCCTATTGGGGTCGCACGTCGCTGCGCCCTCCGCCCCCTCTCGGCTCCCTCGGGGCTGCTGCTGCAGCTTCCACCTCTGCCGGGGGCCTGGATGCTGCAGTCAAGAAAGAAGCACGCCGAAGCCGAGGCATGGGCGGCATCGGATCGGGATGGATCGCCTATCTCTGACATCCAGCGGCGCTGGACGATGTGCCAGGCGCCGCGGCCGCTCCAAAGCGTTCCGGAGCGCTCGGCGAGCGCTCCGACACGTTCTGGAGCGCTCTGTCTCCATCCCGACCCTGGGCCTGACTGGAGAAGAGAAGGGGACGGGGGAGAGGTGGCGGGATGGGCCCATGGCACGCGCGCAGCGGAATCGGTCCGCCTTTGGCGTAGAGCTGCCTTCGTCCCAGAGGTCAGTCGCGTCTCCTTGCCAGGGCGCGGGGTAGGAGGTACAGGTCAGGCAAGCAAGATCGGGATCGAACCGCGGCAACAAATCGGATCAGAAACGGGCAAGATCTGCGCCCGAAACGGTTCAAAACAAGATCGGGATCACATCCTTTTTAAAGCGGCGCTATCGCGGGGCGACACGCCTCCTCCTCCTCCTCGTCGTCCTCCTCCTCCTCGAGAAACAAAACCAGCATACACATATATATGTATATATATGTATATATATATATACATATATACACACACATTCGGGGCCCCACACGGGTTTCTTGGATCGGTGCTAGGCCCCCATCCCCATCCCTGGACCGCAGAACACATCCATAAACTTGACCATCCTCACTGTTTTTGCTTCTGTGAGAGATGGATGGAGGCTGGATCTTTACTAAGAGGGGCATCCCTGAGTAACAGGTTCACGGAACGTTAGTCATTCAAGAGGGCGCGTCCAGCAATGGAACGGTCTTCGCGTAGGGACTTCTGAGGAGAGGCCTTGGGACGGGAGGGTGCCTTGGAACATCGTTAACGCACCCTGGGCATCCTGTGGTCCTCCTCAGCCCCCTCGCAATCCTCCCATCCGTTCTCTCCTGCTCGAGCTGCTACCGCTCCTTCCGCCCATCATCCTGCGAATTCAGCTCTTCGGAATGGAGAAAAACATGTCGACACCGCTCCACTCTGGACCACTCGCGGGGTCTGCTCTGAAAACAACCTCCTGGAGAATCCATCCGTTGCGACGAGGGCTCTCCTGGAAAAGCAGCGGTATCGTTATCTTCTCCCCCCTCTGAAGGAAGAGGTGGACGTGTCGCGGCGGACATGCAGCGCGACACGCCTCGTCCTCCTCCTGTTCGTCCTTCTGCTCCTGCTGCTGCTGCTGCTCCTCCTCCTCCTCTTCTTCTTCTTCTTCTTCTTCTCCTTCGTCTTCTTAGCATTATTCTTCTTCTTCTTATTCGTAGTAGTATTATTAGTATTATTATTGATACTATTAGTAGTATGCTTATTATTCTTAGTCTTATTATTATGATTATTCTTATGATCCTTACTATCATTATCCTTACGGTTACTATTATTACCGTTCGTCTTCTTAGTATTAGTTATCCTCCCCCTCCTCCGCCTCCTCCTCCTCCGCCTCCTCCTCCTCTCGAAACAAACGCCGTCATAAACAGATATAAATTCGGGGGTCTGCGCGGCAATCTTGGATCGGCGCTTGGCCCCCACCCCTGGTGCTCAGAGCGCGCCAGGGGCGGCGCTGGAGGCGCTGCCAGGGAGCTCCAATGCCGATCCTAGAACATCCGCGCGGACTTCTGAATGTTCATGTCTATGTTCATGTCATTTCTTGCTCCTCGATCCTTCTCCCCCTCATCCCCTTCCTCCTCCTCCTCCTCGGCCCCTCGGCTCCTGGCGGCCTCGGCCCAGGAGGCACCGCCAGCCCGCGCGGAGCTCGCGAGGTCGCCGTGCATGTCGGCCGCCGGGGAAACTGCGAGGCAAAAGGCGGCTACGCCTGGCAGGCTTCCTCCTCCTCCTCCTCCTCCGCCGCCGCCGCCGCATCCTCCTTCGCCAACCTCGACCCCTTTATGGCCCCCCCTGCTGCTCTCCCCCTTCATTCTCCCCGCCCTCCTTATCCTCCTCCTCTTCCTCCTCCTCTTCCTCCTCCTCCTCCTCCTCCTCCTCCTCCTCTTCACTCCCCCCTCTTATCTCTTTATCTTCCTCCGTCTCTCCTCTCCTCTCCTCCTCCTCCTCCTCTCCTCCGCCTGTTCCTCCTCCTCCTCCTCCTCCTCCTCCTCCTCCTCCTCCTCCTCCTCCGTCTCTCCTCTTCTCCTCTTCTCCTCCTCCTCCTCGCTCCCCTGCTCCCCCTCCTGTCCCACTCCCCCTCCTCCTCCTCGCCCCTCCGTCAAAGGTCAGGGATGGCAGTCATCTAGGTCTCCGACTGCTGCGGGATGTCCGCAGAAATGGCCCCACTCCTCATCCCCCTCCTGGCCCTGCTCCTCCATCCTTTTCATCCTCCTTCTCCCCCTCTTCCTGTTCCTCCTCCTCTCCCTCCTCCTCCTTCTCTTCCTCCTCCCCCTCCTCCTCCTCCTCCCTCTCTGGATCCGGGATCCGGAGGCATCTGGAGATCTATGGACGACAACCAAACCTCGCTGGAGACATCCGCGGGGCCCTCTGACATGCGCTCGAGCTAGTACCTTATGCCCCCCCTTCCCCCGTCCCTGCACTGCATGCCCGCAGAGTGGTGGCCCATCCACGGACGCTGTACGAGGCTGGTCATGCCCAAGCCCGGAGGCTGAGCATTTGTTCTCGGCGGAATGCATCACGAGCGGCGGACACATCCGCATCAACGTCTCGCGGCCTGGATTCTCGGCGCCATCCCGCGGACATGCGGTCGCACGGGCATACGTTCCGCGCTGGGCATATCCGCGACAAACAAAAAAACGCCCCGCGTCCACGGGGCAACGGCCCGTGCGCGAGGCCGCGGTTACTGATACGTGTGTGCTCGCCCACGAGGGCAGATGGCGAGATCCCCAACGCCGTCTGTATAGGCCTTCTAGATGGAGTCGGGATAGATGGATGGGATCGAAGGATCGCGCCGTGTCGCCCATGCATCTCCGATGTATCGGCGATGCATCGGCGACGTCGGCGATGCATCGGCGACTTCGACGTGGGGAAACACGGGCTCTATATCAAACCGCATCGTCGATGCAACGGCGATGCGGCGCGAGCGCGATCCTCCGACCCCGTCTACTCGGACCCCATCTAGGAGGCCTGGAGTCTGGCCCAACACCCCTCCGCCCCCTCTGCAAGGCCTGCCCGAGATGCCCTGCGCCGGCGCGAGCCTGTGCCGAGCGGACGCAGCTCAAGGCCGCCTCGCGCCGCCCCCCAGAGAGGTTCGTGCAGCGCGACCGACGGCATCATTCGCACGCGTGTTCTCCCAAGCCGCCAGATACATTTCTGGGACGGCGACACGAACTCCAGAATCCAGAACGCGACCAGGAATCCTGGGTAAAAACCACGTGCGTCCTAGAAACGCCCTCTCCTCCCCCTCCCCCCTCTCCTGCCTCTCCTCATCCTCCTCGTCCCTCTCTTCCTCCTGGTCCTAGTCCATTCAACTTCCTTGTACATAACTTCTCCCTGTCGCGCCGGGCGTTTCGCCTGAGACTTCCTCACCGCTTCTGACTCTGAAGCTTCAACATTGGCAACAGTTTCACAGATGGAGGGCGGGTCGTTTTCAAAATGTGGTTCTCGCCGTAGCGCGGCGCACATTCGTTCAAACAATGCGCAAGCGCTTCACGGATTGAGGGCGGGTGGTTTTCAACATGTGGCTCTCGCCTTCGTGCGGCGCATAGTCGTCTTAAAATTTGCAAGAACTTCACGGATTGAGGGCGGGTCGTTTTCAAAATGTGGCTCTCGTCTTAGCGCGGCGCACACTCGAGTTAAACATTTGCAAGAGCTTCACGGATTGAGGGCGGGTGGTTTTCAACATGTGGCTCTCTCCTTAGCGCCGCGCACATTCGTTTACAACATTTACAAGAGTGTCACAGATTTCCATTATCGGCATCCGTGGCGTTGGAATCCCGAGAACAATGTTTTGGCATGCTTCAGGGTCTTCAGACGGGTGTCTTCCAACGAGGCTGTTCCATCAATGAACATGAGCCGTTGCAGGGGCCTATGAAGGGGAAATTTGGATGGAGGGTTTACTCCAACATCGTTGAGGATTATTGGGTTTACACTGGTCCTCCTCCTCCTCCTGTTCCTCCTCCTCCTCTTCCTCCTCCTCCTCCTCCTCCTGCGCCTTCGCTCCCTGCAGAGGCTCCAACGGGTGAAAAACCGTGGAACCCCCAAAAAGCGCGGCTTTGAACGGCTGCAGGTTCTCTCTCCCTTTCCTCCCCCTCGTGGGTGTGCGATCCTCCTCCCCCTGCCACTCCTCTTCCTTGCAAATACCCCCTCCCTGTCGCACCCCGAGGCGGGTCGGTAGGGCGGGTCGGGCCTTTCGCCTGAGACATCCTCACCACTGATGACCCTGGAACTCGAAATTTCCAACAATTTCACGATTAAACGGCGGGTCGTTACCATAGTGTGGCTCTCGCTGCAGCGCCACGCACACTCGTCTTACAAAGTTGGAGGGCGGGTGGTTTTCAAAATGTGTATCTCGCCTCGGCGCCGCGCGCATTCGTTTGAAAAATGTGCAAGGGTTCCGCGGCTGGAGGGCGGGTGTAAATTTGCAAAATGGCTCTCGCTTTAGGGCCCCGCACACTGGTGGCAAACGATGGCAAAAGCTTCGCGGATGGAGGGCGGTCCTTTTTCAAGATGTGGCTCTCGCCTTGGCGCCGCGCACATTCGTCTTAGCAGCTTCAAGCCGCCGTTTCAAGGATTCTGATGATTGACGTTCCAGGAATGGCGGTTTGCTACGATTTAGGCTTGCAAAGACGCGACAGTCACGTTCATTCGTGGTGTTGACGTCCCAGAAGCGGCGTTCTGGCACGATTGAGGATTGTCAGGTCGCAGCAGTCACGTTGATCCACGGCGTTAAAGTTTCAGGAATAATTCTTCGGCACGGTTAAAGATTTTCAGACGGTTGTCTCCCACCCGCAGTGAAAACGAATCCTTTACATGGGAGCCTTTGAAGAGGGAGCTTGGAGGGAGAGTTTATTCCAACATTGTTGAGAAGGCCTTGGATTTACGCTGGTCCTCCTCCTCCTCCTTCTCCTCCCCGTCCTCCTTGTCGTCCTCATCCTCCTCCTAACCCTCCCCCCCACCAGAGGCAAAGAGGCTCGTCGCTGCCTCCTCGCCTGGCGTGGCCGGTCCAGGCCGGGGGGGGGCCGCTGGCCTACCCCGACTTGGGCCACCCTTTGCAGCGAGGGCGGCGGCGCCGACGACGACGACGACTTCGACTGCGACGACGGCGCTGACACTGACGCTGACGCGGACGCTGAAGCCGACACCGACGCTGACACCGACGCTGACGCCTGCGACGACCCCAACATTGACGCTGACGCTGCCGCTGGCGGCGACTGCGGCGACGACGGGAGTGCCAAGGCCAGGGATGAAGGGAACGTAAGGGCCACTTCCTCCGTCTCCTCCTCATTCTCCGCATTCTCTTCACTTTCCTCCCTATCCTCCAACTCCTCCTCCTCCTTCTCCTCCACACCTCCTCTTCCTCCTGTTCATTATCATCTTGATTCTCCTCCGCCGCATCCCCCTCTTCATCACGAATATCACCATCGTCATCATCATCATCATCATCATCATCATCATCATCATCATCATCATCATCATCATCATCATCATCATCATCATCATCATCATCATCATCAAACTCATCAGCATCATCATTATCATCATCATTATCACGATCATCACCAACAGCAAGAACCTCTTCAATGTCACCACAATCACCATGAGAAACGTCGCCATCACAATCATCAGCATAAACATCATCACCACCACCATCGTCATCATTATCATCATCGTCATCATCATAAGCATGATCGCCATCATCATCAACAATAGCATCATCATCACCGTCACCATCACCATCACCACCACCATCACCAGCATCATCACCTCATCATCATTATCATCATCATCAACAGAAGCATCAGCCTCAGTCTCAACATGATCATAATCATCGTGATCATCATCACCATCAACATCCGCATCATACCCATCATCATCCTCATCCTCGTCGTCGTTGTTGCCATCGTCATCACAATCGTCATCGCTATCATTGGCAGCATCAACAACAGCATCAGCAGCACCAACAGCAAAAATCGAAATCGGCAGCGTGAGAATCGGCACCACCATCGATATCAGCATCACAATCACCATCACCATCATCATCGTCATCACCATCACCGTCGACATCATCATCATCATCAGCATCATCGTCATCATCATCAGCGTCATCATCTTCATGACCATATTCATGATCAGTATCACGACCATAATCTTAATCGTCGCCATCATCATCATCAGCAGCACCAGCACCATCACCACAACCAGCACCATCATCTACATCAACATCATCAGCATCACCACCACCACCATCATCATCATCATCATCATCATCATCATCATCATCATCATCATCATCATCATCATCATCATCATCATCATCATCGTCAGCAACATCGTCATCGTCATCATCACCAGGTTGGGCGCACGACCCGTGAGTTCCCCCAACACGCACACACACACAAACACACACACACACACACGCACACGCACACGCACACACACACACACACGCACATACACACACACCCACACCCACACCCACACCCACACCCACACCCACACCCACACCCACACCCACACCCACACCCACACGAACACCCACACGAACACCCACACGAACACCCACACCCACACCCACACCCACACCCACACCCACACCCACACCCACACCCACACCCACACACCCACACACCCACACACCACACACACCCACACACCCACACACCCACACACCCACACACCACACACACCACACACACCACACACACACCACACACCCACACACCCACACACACCACACACCCACACACCCACACACCCACACACCCACACACCCACACACCCACACAACCACACACCCACACACCCACACACACACACACACCGCCCCATCTACTGACCCGGTTCCATCTGGACCCGGGCCAGGCGGGTTTTACAAGATCCTGCAAGATCCTGCACGCAAGCCCGGGTCGATACACCCCTGGCCCCCTGGCTCTGCAGGATCCTGCAAGATCCGGCACTCTGGCTGACCGATGTTGGTGTATAAATTCGGGGCTGTTTAGATCTGTCTGAGTTCCAGAGTTTGGTCGGCGAGTGCTCGGAAACCAGTGGCCTTCAGCAGGGCGAGATGATGGATTCACTCCCTGGCCCGATCGACCCCGTTTTTGAGCAGGGACCGACCGTCTTAGCACTTCTATAGGCCTACCACGACATGTTCTTAGAACCCAAACAGTGTTCTAAGATCAAAACAATGTTCTTATAACATAAACACGATGCATGGAAGCCAGAAGAACTCAGCCAGAAATGTTCTAAGAACATTTCGTCCAAACCACAAAAGGTCCATAACATATTTTTTGGTGGGCCTGTAGGCGAGCCAACACGCTTCGCCACTGCTTGACGTTTGCACTGGCCCCCGTCGCTTGAGCCCCGATCGAGCCTCCTCCGCCCCGCCGGTCTGACTATCTACCAGACCACCCCAACCAAACCCGAAGACCCGAATTTCGGGTTGGGGGGGGGTACGGGTTCCAGATGTGTTCTCCATGTTCCCCGCCCCCCCCCCCGCCAGGTTGCCTCGTTTCGGGGGCGGCAGGGTGCGCACGAGGACCAGATCTTCGGAGTGTGGTAGCAAGACGCCCCCGCAGCGTTTTTTGGGAGCGGCGGGGAGCGGTTCTTCCGGGCGCGGGGCGGGCATAGTTGCCCATGCCACTCCAATAGAAGTGTTGGTAGTTCTCATTGGGCATCGGTTGTCTGGCAAGGGGAGCCGCATCAGGTGGCTGGCGCACTCGGCCGTGGGGCAGAGCACCCCGTGTGACCGCTTTAAACAATGACCCGCCCGCGAGGCTGGCTCGCATGGTGTAGACCTTATTTAGTGGGCCCTGGAAACGACAAGGCCATTTTTTGATCGGTTCCGTTTTGCCGTTTTTGTTACCGGTTCCGAAGCCGTTTCTTTTACCAGTTCCGTCGCCGTTTTTGTTACTGGTTCCAGCTCCGGTTCCAATCCTGGAACCGCTTTTGTGCCGTTTCCGTTTGCCGTTTTTCCGTTTACGTTTTCAAGAGACACTTGTTCGGAAACGGTGAAAAACGGCCCTGCCGTTTCCAGGGCCCACTAAGGTGTAGACGTGACGTGGCATCATCATCAGCAGCAGCATATCAACATCACATCCAGTAGCAACAGCATGATCATCCTCATCACGGCCCTCCCACTCTAGAACTGTCGCCACCCGGAATGCTGGGCTGGCACGGTGGCGGGACTTGACGCAGGCAGCTGGATATTTATTGTTGGTTCTCGCTGGGCCTCGATGGTCGGCCGTGGGGCAGTCCATCCCGCGTGACCACATTAAACCATGACCCGGGCTCGCTTCTGGCTCTCATGATAAAATAACCGTGGCATCATCATCATCCTGATCATCCTGATCATCCTGATCATCCTCATCCTCATCCTCATCATCATCCTCATCCTCATCCTCATCCTCATCCTCCTCCTCCTCCTCATCATCAGCATCAGCATCCGCATCATCATCCGCATCATCATCCGCATCATCATCCGCATCATCATCATCAGCAGCATCATCAGCATCATCAGCATCATCAGCAGCATCATCAGCATCATAAGCATCATCATCACCATCAGCAGTAGTAGCAGCATCAGCATCAGCAACATCATCGTCAACAGCATCATCCTCTTCAACAGCAGCAGCAACAACAGCAGCAGCAGCAGCAGCAACACCGTCACCATCAGCAGCAACCAAATGATCATCCTCATCACAACTCTCCCAACCTCGAACCGTCGACACCCGGATGCTGGGGCAGCACGGTGGCGAGGCTTGACGCAGGCATCTGGATACGGCAGGTTCGTGTCGTGCCGACCCCAGCGTTGGTTTTTGACACCGCAGGGATCGTTCAACCTTGAACGATTGGCCGCTGCCGCAACGTCCGATCGTTCAACATCGAGCGATTCTGGGTCGCCCGAGGCGTTCAACGTTGAACGTCGGCGGCGGGGTCGCCGCCGGTCGACACGACACGAACCTACCGTAAAGTTGGTTGTCGTTGGGCCTCGGTGGTCTGGCGCGCTCAGGTGGGCTGGCGCGCTCGGCCGTGGGGCAGAGCATCCCGCGTGAAGCCATGACCCGCCCTCGCTGCTGGCTCTTATGGTAGACGTAGCGTACTACTGGCATGATCCTCCTCCTCCTGCTCTCTCCCCCCCCTTTCCCCTTTCTCACCAGATCTCTTTCCTCGTTCGGCCTCCCTCTTTCCCCTCTGCCTCCCTCCCTTCCTCCCTCCCCCCTCCTCCGCTCCTCCTCCTCCTCCTCCTCCTCCTCCTCCTCCTCCTCCTCGCCCCCCCTCGCGATTCTCTTCCCCAGGCTTGAATGTGCGCAGAGAGTTGTTCTCGGATGCTACTTCGTAGCTGACTCCCGCTTCCTGTTCCCATAAAAAATAAAGTGTTATGTTTCTTACTCACCCCCTCCCCCTCATCCTCACCCTCTGCTGTGAATTTGCAGCATGCCCATGCTGGACCTGGTCTCCACGGGCTCCCGAGCCGAACCGAATCCTCCTCCTCCTCCTCCTCCTCCTCGTCCACCTCTGCTGGGGAGTTTTGAACATATGGGTAGTGTTGCGGCTGCTCCCCGCACTTCAGGGGCGCCTTCTGACCAGCATTCCGAAGCGAGTCCGGCCGTGGCGACGAAAGAGGGGTTGCGGTATCCGCTGCTCCTCGGGCCTCTCGAGGGGTACGTTCTGACCACAATTCGGGGGCGAACGCGGCCGTGGCGATGAGGGAAAGGCAGCGACATCGACATCTCTTCCTCTTCTGATCCTCCTCCTCATGTCGCTGTGGCTGTCGACATCGGTGCCTATCCGAGGACGCTGACGGTCTCCTCCTCCTCCTCCTCCTCCTCCTCCTCCTCCTCCTCCTACAACACCGACGCTGACACCGACGCTGAAGCCTGCGACGACACCGACATGGACATTGACGCTGATTGATGCTGACACAGGCGACGATGACGCCTGCGGCAAGATCGGTGTGGGAGTTCCCTGGAACCCCCTCGGGAAACCTCAGAAAAAAAACGCAGAAGCAAAAAAACCTGACTGCTA